TGGACCTGGCACCCAGACCACTTCATTAAGCTGAAGTTGTCTGGGTGCCTATAGTGGTCCTTTAACATCTGATTGAAAATGAAACCATCATTCAGGCTGTGTCAGTGACAGCCAGGGGAGGAGTCGCTAGAGCAGAAGAAACAAAAGTGATTTAATTCCTAAATGGCAGAGAATTGAGCAATGAGTCTGCAGGGCCATGATCTACACCAAAACTACTTCATGAACCTAAAGATGTTCTGATGCCTGTGGTATCCCTTTAATGTGGTTACTAGATTGAGCTCAATATCTTATGTGATTGGGGAAGTGATAAAGACAAAACAAGAGATGATCTTTATGATCGTATAATTATGATTGTTTCAATATAACCCACATATACTTTCTTGTAAGTCAATTCATTATTGAGGCTTATAGGATTTGCTACAGAAGCAGAATACAATATCTAGGAAAGGAGGCACTGGTTATTTACCATGTGTAGGGTCATATATAGGCTTATTATGTTTAATGCTGATATACGTGCATTACAGAATTGTCCATTACACACATACCTCAAAGGCAGAGGCGGCTCTAGACTTTATGAGGCCTTAGGCGAAACTCAAACATGAGGCCCCACTAACAAAAAAGTGTCACATATACACATTGAGGCACTGTCTACCTGTGTATGTGCCTGAGAGTGTGTCTGACAGAGAGTATCCTTGTGTGTGTGAATGTATGTCTCTGTGAGCATGTTTGCGTTTTTGTCTGAGACCTTAGGTGTATGGGGTAGCTGCTTGAAGTGTGTTGTGTGTATGGGGAGGTGATGGTAAGAGGGAGGGGGTAATGTTAGAGGGAGATGGGGGGTAATGTGAGAAGGAGAGGGGGTGAGGTTGAGGGGGGTGAGGCTGAGGGGGGTAATGTGAGAAAGAAGAGGAATGTGAGAAGGTGAGGGGAGTGAGGGGTGAGGGGTGAGGCTGAGGCTGAGGCTGAGGGGGGTGAGGGGTGAGGCTGAGGCTGAGGGTGGTGAGGGTGAGGCTGAGGGGGGTGAGCTGAGGGGTGAGGCTGAGTGAGAAGGAGAGGGGTAATGAGGCTGAGGGGTGAGGCTGAGGGTGGTGGGGGTGGTGAGGCTGAGGGTGGTGGGAGAGGCTGGTGGGGGGGTGGGGAGGCTCAGGGTGGCGGTGAGGCTGATGGAGTGGGTGGGGAGGCTGAGGGTGGTAGTGAGGCTGGTGGGGGGTGAGCAGAACCTACCCTTATTCCCTGGTGGTCCAGTGGGCTCCCTGATGGTCCGGTGGCCCCTTCTTCCGGTCTGCAGCTCCGCAGAGCTGCAGACCGTGTAATCTCGCGAGACTATCAGAGCGTTGCCGTGGTAACCCGCGGCAACGCTCTGATTGGCCAGTTTTCGCGAGACACATGGTCTGCAGCTCTGCTCACTGCGGAGCTGCAGACCGGTGTCTGCGGTGGCTGGCCGGGCAGCCAGGAGGGGCCTCGCACCCGGCGGCATACCGGGCAAGCCGCCTGGCCCCCTGACACAGTTTGCCATAATGCCCTTTAGTCGGCCGCGAGGCCCCAGCCAGCGCGAGGCCTTAGGCGGCCGTCTAAACCACCTAATTAGAGAGCCGCCTCTGCTCTAAGGGATATGTTTCACTAATGCTTTAATAAAATGTAAGGGAAGAAGAATAACCTTGGAATCCGCATAGCAGAGCACAACAAAGCAAAATACACAGCTAGATTGACAAATACAGATAGCAACGCAAACTGTGAGACAATCAAAATCAATATCAAGGTATCAGCAGTTGAAAATGGTAAATCACACAAAGCGACCAGAGACCATACAGGATTAGCTAACCAATGGTTCCTAGTGTGTCACGCTCTGTGCTATAAGCTTGTCTCTTTATAACAACCAAGAAATAGTTGACAAATAGGACGAACTGCAGCTACAAGAAGGAACAAGATCCACAACGTTGATCTAGCAAAAAGTTTAACCCCTTCATGGCAGGTGAATTGTCAGGACTGTCAAGGTATCATAGGATGTGTCAAACCTCTTTGGCTGAAATGGTTAAAGTACACTAAACTATTTTAACTATTTTTATTAAGCCGTATTAACAGCCCTGTATTAAGCCACATTTTTTTTTTAATTCAAAGTACCGGTTTTTCAAAACATGAGCATTTTTTAAACATTTGTTTATTGGAACATGGAGTGACACTGTCATTTCTTGACAGTGTAATAAAGAGTTTACTAATCCCTCTAAATTATAGGTTCTCACCTCTCGGTTTTATTGTAACCTTTAATTACAGCTAACAATATTAGCTCACACAATTTAGAAATCTTTTAACAATTCACAATGTTCATTTGACAGAAATATAAATAGCCCTGCCTGTTGCTAGGATTTTATACAACATTAGAGCATACTAGCCAGGATTGCGTATAATGCTCTATCTATTATACTCTTTGGTCAAACGGTCAGACGGAAAGTACTGGTCAAAAAACATATATATTTGCTGGATGTGTATATTAATTCAATTGTGTCTTTAATGCGCATAAATGTTAAAGGATAATTAAATGTAAAATGTAAATTAAACAAACACAATAAATTATTGTATAAATTGTTATGGCTGAGATTTTTCTTTTATACACACACACAAACACACAAACTCATCTCTCTCCACTCCTCTCTTTTATAAAAAAAAAAAAAAAAGGTCAATTTTTAAAATATACAAAACACTGGCTTATATTGAAATATATTAAATGACATCCTAGCTACTGTTAGTTGTATACAATGCTGGATTTAGATATAAGACACGTGGGAGGTATGGTTGTTTTATGGCTTTTCTGTAGTTAGGCACTGTCAATGCTTCTGGTCCTGACAAGTATGATTGGCCTAATTACAGAGCCTTATAGACAGAAAGCAATATAACAGACATATGGAGTGTCTTGTACCTGGTGGAGTTGGTGATGGAGGGGAACTCACAAAATACACATTATAATATAATACACGCTATGTCAATCTCTCTCTGTGATCGCTCAGTACAGTCTATCTGCCCATCTTACAAGTCACACAGCTCTCAACTCTCTCTTATTAATCACAAACTCAGAATCCTCTCTCTTCAGGACTCATTCGTCCAATCATCTCCTTCCCTTCTTACCAGCATACAGAAGCTTGCTCTGCGTATGCAGCCTGGGCCAGAGAAAGAGGTGGATGTAGTGAGTGTAGCAGAAAATGGGATACACTGACACATGAAGACAGGATGATGTTGGCTTGTTAAAGAGATAGAAGCAACAAGAATATTTACAGGCAAACAGACCACTTCAGCTCATTGAAGTGGTCTGGTTGCAATTTCCCTGTCCCACTTTGTCTTGCAATGCAGATCATTATCATAATTAAATTGCAGAGTTAAAGGGACACTCCAGGCACCCAGACCACTTCTGTCCATTGGAGTGGTCTGGGTGCCATCTCCCACTACTCTTAACCCTGCAAGTGTAATTATTGCAGTTTTTTTTATAAACTGCAATAATTACCTTGCAGGGTTAACTCCACCTCTAGTGGCTGTCTATTAGAAAACCTGTGCTAGAGCGTCGCTGGATGTCCTCACGCTGTGTGAGGACCTCCAGCGTCGCTCATTTCCCTATAGGAAAGCATTGAAAAGCATTTTCAATGCTTTCCTATGGGGAGCTTTAATACGCATGCGCCGCATTTCGGCTCATGCGCTTTAGGTCTCCCCGGCCGGTGGGCAGGATCAGTCTCGCCCACCTGCCGACGTAATCACTGGGAGGAGCGGCGGCGGAGGAAGAAGCAGCGACATGGGACATGTCGCTGCCTCTGGTAAGTAACTGAAGGGGTTTTCACCCCTTCAGCAATCAGGGATTGGGGGGTGGGAGGGAAAGGGGACCTGCAGTGCCAGGAAAACTGAGTTTCCCTTTAAGACTGCATCTAGTGGCTGTCAATCAGACAGCCACTAGAGTCGCTTCTTGCTTGCTTGGCGACTTTTGTCGCCTAACTGAAATTGGACGTCCTCACGCTATGCATGAGGGTATCCAGCCTCAATTAAATCCCCATAGAAGAGCATTGAAGCATGTTGCACATGTGCATCAGCCCCCCCACCCTGTCAGAAGATGTCAGGTAAAAGAGCAAAGACCCAGCGTCAAGGGAGGTCGTTGCTGGAATCGTAGGAGTACAGAAAGGTATTTTTAACCCTTTCCATATTGGGGGGGGGGCATAAGGGACGGGCCAGGATTTGGTTTTCTAGCACTTCAGAATCAATGTAAGTTAACAATTTATAGCCAGTCAGACCACATATATGTAATCCCCTGCATCTCTCCTATGTTCCATAATCAATTCACTCTGTAAAAACATTATACAGCAAAAGCATGTAAGGGGTAGTGAAACATAAATAAAATAAATACCGTAATACTATTTTTTTATATCTTATATAATAGCTTGTTTGGGTGGGGCCCTCTTCACATATTGTCCCATATGTCAAACCTGTTTGGTTAGAATGAAATATTTATCTTGTTTTTTTTGTAAATATATTTTTTATTGTTAAGGTTTTCAATGAAGAACAAAATAATAGAATGGGACGTGCAGGGCCCAGATACACAATTTAAAGTATAATGAGACACGCAGGTCTGTGGTTTTGAGTAGTGGAAACAACATAGACAAATATGCAGCATCATAGACAATAGTGTGATAGGAAACTTATTTGGCATTTTCAGCAAAGGTATAAAGTATATTGCACATAAATGTTCATGCATTCACTTTTCAACAGCTTAGATCTTATTTTTTGTGGCCCATACTGGTAACAAAAGTAGGGAGTGAACAATACTAGCACTACATAAACGTAGTACCAATGAACAATTGAAAAATAAGGACCTCAGTGAGAGGTAAATAATTCTGGAAAGGTGGGGGAACCCGGGGGCTATGGACGAACGGTGATGTTCTCCCCCCTAGCACAGAATTAGTGGCTCAGAGTGTCATAGCTTTACAGATAAGCGAGTAGGCTGTCCTACCTTGAGCTGAGAGGGTTATCTCCTCCAGCAATGTCAATTCCTCCATCTTAGTGAACCAGAGGGATATGTCCTGTTTCCAGAACAGTCTGGCCAAGGTTAATATTTGTATGGTGAAGGATTTCTTATACTGGAAGGTTGGAGTATTGTGAGGTGCAGGAGGTAAGGAGCCGGTCAGAAAGCTGGAGGGTTGTCAGAGAACTTCAGCAGTATAGTTTGTATTTTCCTCCAATAAGGTAATGTAAAGGGTCATTCTCGTCAAATATGTAGTAACGTACCCTCAGCAGTGTGACACTGCCAACACAGACCATCCAGTTGTGGGTTAATTGCCTTCAATAGTTGTGGGCTTTTGTATCACATCTTAAGGACCTTGTAGGTTGTTTTCTGTGACCAAATGGTGAGGATGCCGTAATGTACTGAGTCGCATATGTTAAAAGGCCCAGGAGCCCCAGACACCATTACAACTTAATTGAAATGAAATTGTCATAGTGCCCAGAGTGGGCCTTTAAAGGAAAGTCTTCATCGAAAAAAACTAAATTAAATCGCCAAAGCACAACTAAAATGAAACTTTCCTTGTGTTCAGGGTATTAAAAGTGTGCACATGCAACCTGGAATGGGAGGAGGAACAAAAATGAATTAAACAAACCTAATGCAATTTTTGCGAATAAATGCACTTATTCATAGAAATAAGCTTTTATGTGCACATTACTACATTATTACAGCTACTAAACATTTAAACATGAAGCACATCCTGCAATCAGGGTAGTGAGCATTTAGCCCGATAGTTGCAAGAACACATCAAATCTTTCAAACACATTTATCCCCATTTTCAAAATAGTGACACGATGGATATATTTGCTTAAAAGTACCCACATGTTAAAGATAATGCCCAACTAGGAGATAAAACCATCTAAAGTGTAATATTAACAGGAGGTCTCCTCAGGGAACAAATTATGTACAATGTGTATTGTAACGTACAGTGTGAATTGTTTCTCTCTGTTATACGCTCAATTTGTTTCTCTCTGTTATATGCTCGATTTGTTCGAAACGTGATAATATACGGTACCAAATTACCGGCTTTCCCCCCTAACCACCCCTTCTTTTCTGTACCCCTATACATCTGCAGAAAACAAATAAAAATTGTCAAACACAAAAATAAAGTGTAATATTGACGCTTGAACCTCTCCCCACCGCAAAACAAACAAACAAACAATGCTTAATAAATAATATATATATACTCAAAGATAGTAAGTCTTCAGATCACCTATTACAATTATAGGGAAATTAATCTATTTAATGAGAAATTTGAAAATGTTTTAAAAAAACAAACAAAAACACAATTCTCCCTATAATAAAAACTTTCCATTGACACAATGGAAGTGCCAAGTACCACGATTGACTGTTAAATCAATCAATAAATCTACCCATAAGTACTTCAAAGAACATAATATATTTATAAAGCCACCTCACAAAACATGACAGTACATTGGAAGGAAAAAGAAAACTACCAGGAAAAATAGTATATGATTTTAATGTAAAAAAATTAAAGATTAAATTCAAAGCAAAACAATACATTAGGATATGTTCCAGCCTGAGTCTAATATATAACAACTTACCCTAACAAGCCTGGTAAGTTGGGGTACTCAAAGTGAGGTTGTGAGGATTTTTGGGGGTGTGGGTTGGAAGAGTGGAGTGGTCCTTTAGAGGAGCAATCCAGGCACCATAACCTATACAGAACTGCAGATTTCCCAAGTCGCCATCCCCTGGTATCTGTTCACACCATTTACCTTGCTGTGTTAGGTTTGTTCTGTCCTACTGATGCAGCCTGATAAATAGGAAGTTCATACTTTATCACGGCAACTCGTATATGTGCTGATACAGGAAGGTAAGAGTCACACCATTGATAAACAACTTAACAAAGTACTGAGTGACTCATGGCTACATAATATTTATAGTGCAGGAATAGGCAATATTCTGCACTCCAGATGTTGTGGACTTCATCTCCCCTGATGCTTTGCCACTCAAGATTTCCACCTCCCCTCCATAAAAAGAAATAAATATGATATGCTTGTATGTCTGCGTGACACAGCTTAAGTGAGATTACGCATGTTCATGCAAGTCTACATGGACTCCATGATGAGATACCAGTGGCAGCCTGTGGCACTGCTGCTTGTATCAATTACCAGCTCCAGCTGACTAGCTGAACTCGTAACATAGCTGATAATAGGGTGAACCCTTAGCGGCTCCCTAATATCAGCTATGTTACGACTTGTGCCACAATTACTCTTCTGTGTCTCCCTGTAACCTAATGAGGTGGAAAAGGGGCCAAGATGGGGAAAATGCACAGTGCCTGTTTTATGGAAAAGCATGCAAATTTAATGACATGTTTGCACTGCATTTGCTGGTATCTTATCCTTGGTGTTCCCATAAGTGGGATACCAAACAACAACATTGGACAGGGCAGGCATGTGTGTAAAAGGGACTGTTTGTGGTGCAGTGTATGTAAAGGGGTCTGTTAGTGGTGTAGTGGTGTTCTATGTGCACCTATGGGCAGTAGTTTGTGCATTTGTGTGCATGTATAGCGGCTGCAGATAATGTATGTGTGTTGGTTGGGGTTGCAGTGTGTATAAGGCCTGTAGAGTGTGTGCATGTGTATCTATGGGCTGCATTGCGTGTGTATTTCGGAGCTGCAGTATTTGTGTATAGGAGATTTAATGTGTACATAAGGGGTATACTGTCTGTATAGTGTGTGGGGTGTACTACATGTGCCGGAGATTTTCTGTCTGTTTCTGTGGGGTTGTGTACTATGGATGTTTACTGTGTTTCTGTGGGGCTGTACTGTGTGTTTTTGTGGGGTTGTGTACAGTGGGGGTGTACTCTGTGTTTCTGTGTAGGAGTATACAGTGTGGGAAGGTGTATTGTAAGAGGGTGTACTGTGTGTTTCTGTGGGGTTGTGTACAGTGGGTGTGTACACTGTGTTTCTGTGGGGGAGTATACTGTGTGGGAGGGTGTATTGTGTGGGTGTATTGTAAGAGTGTGTACTGTGTGTTTCTGTGCTGTTGTGTACAGTGGAGGTGTACACTGTGTTTCTGTGGGGGAGTATACTGTGTGGGAGGGTGTATTGTGTGGGTGTACTGTGTGTTTCTGTGGGGTTGTGTACAGTGGGTGTGTACACTGTGTTTCTGTGGGGGAGTATACTGTGTGGGAGGGTGTATTGTGTGGGTGTATTGTAAGAGTGTGTACTGTGTGTTTCTGTGCTGTTGTGTACAGTGGAGGTGTACACTGTGTTTCTGTGGGGGGTATACTGTGTGGGAGGGTGTACTGTGTACAGTGGTGTGTAGTGTGTGGGTATACTGTGTGTTGTAAGAGGGTGTACTGTGTGTTTCTGTGGGGTTGTGTACAGTGGAGTGTGTGGGAGTATACTGTGTGGGAGGGTGTATTGTGTGGGTGTATTGTAAGAGGGTGTACTGTGTGTTTCTGTGGGGTTGTGTACAGTGGAGGTGTACACTGTGTTTCTGTGGGGAGGTATACTGTGTGGGAGGGTCTATTGTGTGGGTGTATTGTAAGAGGGTGTACTGTGTGTTACTGTGGGGTTTTGTACAGTGGAGGTGTACACTGTGTTTCTGTGGGGGAGTATACTGTGTGGGAGGGTGTATTGTGTGGGTGTACTGTGTGTTTCTGTGGGGTTGTGTACAGTGGGTGTGTACACTGTGTTTCTGTGGGGGAGTATACTGTGTGGGAGGGTGTATTGTGTGGGTGTATTATAAGAGGGTGTACTGTGTGTTTCTGTGGGGTTGTGTACAGTGGGGGTGTACTCTAGTGTTTCTGTGGGGGAGTATACTGTGTGGGAGGGTGTATTGTGTGAGTGTATTGTAAGAGGGTGTACTGTGTGTTACTGTGGGGTTGTGTACAGTGGAGGTGTACATTGTGTTTCTGTGGGGGAGTATACTGTGTGGGAGGGTGTATTATGTGGGTGTATTATAAGAGGGTGTACTGTGTATTTCTGTGGGGTTATGTACATTGGGGGTGTACTCTGTGTTTGTGTGCATTATCTGGTATCATCCAAGCAGCATGAAATCTTGCGGATATTAATTTCCATAGGGATGCTAAAGGCCATTGGACATTGATAAATACTCTGATCAGTGTCTGGATTTTGCCCCCCACATAACACCAGATTATTTTTGACAATCTGAATCGGTCATTCACTTTAACTTTGTTCTATGTACTATGTATTACCATGTACAATAAAAAGTTTCAAATCTAAATAAATGATTTCTTATGCCCTGCTCTTCAAATAATTACTGTGTTGGTATAAATAGTTTCTCAGTTGTGAAATACCTTGGCATGGAGGTTATGTTTAATAAGATACAATGTATAGCTTTAGAGAATGTAGCTCTTTGCTTGTTGAACATGTAGAGAACTGATGATTGTTTCTATAAACACAATAGGCTGTTTCAGGCTAACGTGTAACAATAGCAGAAAGGCTAAAATGTCCCAAGGAATGAGGTCTAGTGACCTTGAGCAAAGTCTTCACACATTACGTGTCAAATTTTGCTGCCCATGACAACACGAAAACAGGAAAAGGCTCAGCCTTAATCTGACAGCCTGCAGTGTGGGGATTGAATGCTAAGGCTGAGCACTCTTAAAAGCGTGTTCAAAGAAGCATTTTGAAGTAGTTACAATAAATGGCAGAACTAATGGAAATAGCATGGAAATTGCTTGATCTCCATGACTCGATCTCTCTTTCCAAATCCGAGAGGAAGGTCAGGAGAACAGGAGGTCTGAAGCCATGGCAGATAGAGAGATGTCCACATTTAAGCTCATCGATGACAAACTCATTAGAAAACAAGAAGACTTTACTGCACGAGGCAGCATGGAAGGGAGACCTGGAACAAGTTAACACATTGCTCAACTTTGGAATCTCTGTTAATTGCCAGTAAGTTAATATCTACTAATAGAGTAACCAAGATAATTATGGATACTGTTAGGCAACTGCTGCACTTCAACCGCTGTCTCAACACCTACCTATATCACGGGTAGGCAACCTTCTGCACTCCAGATGTTATGGACTACATCGCCCGCAATTCTCTTAAAGCCATAATGCTGGCAAAACACCAAGGGAGATGTGGTCCACAACATCTGGAGTGTCCAAGGATGCCTGCTCCTGATCTATATAATGCCAGCATTTTGAAGCTGACAGTACGCCAACCAAAAAAAGGAGTTTGTCATTACTAATGTGCCAACTACAGCTCATGCCAAATGTTGTCTATAGCAGCTTTGTTCAATTCACATCAAGCTAAATCAGATTTATATTTTTAACTTAGTAGAGAGAGTAGCGGGCTATTTAATAATAAGTAGAAACTAGCTCACTTTCTAAAGTTGATCTTGTTTAAAGGGACATAGAGCATTACCGCATTCCTATATTATCACAACTGCTTAAAACACTGGTAGTCTCAAAGATCAGTAGATTTAGAGATTTGCACACAACATTAGCAGTAATGACAGATTGCACTGTCCCTTTAAGACATGCATACAATTAATGTTATATTGTACATGCAAAGGCAAGAATAGTAATAAAGAAGGCAGAGTGTGCATACACAACATTTAAATGTGGGACTACAGCTTACAAAACTGCTTCACTTAAAATGTTAGATTATCAGTTGTATCTCTCAGCAATGCAATACAATCCAAAACATTTAAATGGTTAAAGGGCACTTTATTTAATATGGCATTGTATTGTGTTCACAATGTCCCTGTTATTCAATTGTCTGGCAACTGAAATTTTGAACTGAAAACAAATTTAGATACAACATAATACCATGGAGGACAATGCGTATATGTGATGTTTCTATCAATTTCCTAAAGTCTAGTGAAGGTGAAATGTTGGCTAAACCTATTTGCTAACAGTAGAAGGACTATTTTCATTAAATGGGAACTGCCACTTTATTATAATGTTTACCTATCTCTATATTTAAAAAATATGAATTTGTGAGGTGTGAGAAATAGAGTTAAATTTAGCAAACCACATCTCTTTATCTTGCGGTTGGTAAATCTGAATTACCAATTCGACAATATCAATTGATGTAATCAGTATGGCACTATTGGCTTAGATACCTGCCCTAAGCACTCTCCGCCATGAAGATTAGAAAACATTTGACATATCTGCTTTTTCTTTGAATTTTTACTTTGCTTTTAACCCAAATAAGTAACTGTCTTTACTGTAATTGTATAACAGTGATTTAGCCAAATCTGATACAGAATTATTCGCAAAATTTAGGATTCCAAAGTAATTTTGACATTTTAGACCAAAATATGAAAAACATAGGTAACCTGAAGATTTTCTTCTAATTTCACATTTGTGACCAAAAAAACGAAATTCACAAAAAGTGTTCAGTTCTTTTTATTTATTTATTTTTGGTTTTCTGGTCTGAGATATATATATATTTGGTTCAACAAAAATTTGCAGAAAAATTTTGTTGATCACCAAATTAATAACCCTCGTTGGGACCCTAGCCAACTGGAGGACGGGACTGGATAGATCATCAATCTGAATTATTGGTGATTTGGAAATATTTATGTCATGGGTTGAGAAAGGCGCTTTTTCTTATTTTTTTTTAAACGTATTTCTTTTTTTTCCTTTACTATTATATTACAGCCCCACAGTGGGGACACAGAGGTTGGATAGTGATCTGTCTACCCTCTAGTCTGTAAATTAGGAGCTTGGGGGTATGTTACTAGCGATAAGGCAGCAATAGCTGCCCAGTTGCTAGTTTTTTATTATAGCGAGAAGCCACTGGCCGCTCCTTGTTAAGCAGACATGACCCCACTTGGGAAGCTTTTGGTCGTTTTGTCATTCTTAAGAATATGAAAGCACATTTCTAAAAAAAATTATTAGTGAAAGCAATACAATTACCATAGGAATGTGCAGCACATTTCATTAGTGTGTGCACCCAGGAGTTATTTAAATTTTATATAAGGTGAATGTTTATTAAAGAAAGATTCCAAACACCATAAACACTACAGCCCACTGGAGTGGATATGGTGCAGTGGATATGGTGCCAAGATTGCCCTGGTGTCCTCCAAGTGTAGTTTATCATATTGTTTTAGAACAGTTTAACAATGTAATTGGATCCCACCGGTGCCTCCACCTGCAGCCCCTACTTCCAGTTTCTCCTTGCAGGCAATGATTTGGCTTTATAAAGGCATCCGGGGTCTTCTACAGAAAACCAGGTGCAGCATGGGTGCCTGAGGAACCCATGGAAAGTGTCAATTGATTCTAACACTGGAAGGGTTCCAGAGCTCTGGTAGCCCCATAACCATTACAGCAGGATGCCAACTAAAACAGTGAAGTGTGTGTGGGGAATAACAGTGGTGACTGTAATTGTGGTAGCTGTGTGTGATGTATATGTTTTGACTGTGTATAGTTGCTTTATGTATGATGTTTGTGGCAGTTTGTGCAATGTTGATAGCTGTGAGTGATTTGTGTAGTAGTGCATGATGTGTGAATTATATGTAGGTAGCTGTAGTGATGTGTGTGGTTGTGTGTGGGTAGCTGTGACTGATATCTGGTGATTGATATCATGTATATACAAGCACAGTGACACACGCATTGCACTCTCCTTAAGTTGTCCCTTTGCAGATGCTGCCTGGGTGTTTAACTGAGCCAGGACAACCCTGCTGATGCCTGTCCTCCATTTTCACAGCCTGTCCTCCATTTGCCACTGTGTTGGCCGCCGAGATATGACATCACTATGTATCCTGGCAATCCTTTAGCTGTCTAAAAAGGAGTGAATTGCTCCTGTCACGTCTTGTACATCCCCACCTCTCTTCCAGGGTGGGGAAAGTAATATTTAAAAAAAATAAAAATTCACTATCAGAAGTGGCGTTGAGCGATTAGGCAAGAACGCTTCCTCACAACAGAGAGGGAGCACAGGCATCGGTCAGGGAGATCTTCTGAATCTTAGGATGTGCCTGGGTACACCCAGCACACTCCGTGTGCATGTCTATGATAATTATGCATGAAGCAGTATATAATTTAAATCTAACAAAGAAACTTTTGATATATATCAATACTCACTGTTTATGGTGTTATTCACTAAACCTCGTATTTTGTCCAGCTGGTAGGCCAAAGCATATCTGCAGCAATCACCCAAACACATTCGGTATCCGGATTAAAAATTGTGTTTTTACTTCTAAATGCTATACAAAGTATAGGATTCAGGGGATTAACAAAAACACTTATTTTAAATTGAATAGGAATCGAAAACATCCCACAGGATACACATTCGATACACATTACACATTCGCAAATTAGTATTCACTTGCTTTCATGCAAGCAAACGATAATTTTAAGTACTATTTGCCCGATGACAGTGCTAGCAGCCAGCAGGCAAAAAGTTAAATATGTGTCAGCAATGTGAGGGTTAATTATGTGGTCGGGTGGCCAGAGCTTGCTAGCCAGCCATCACATTAATTGTTTAATTATTTATTTATTTATAAAATATTTTACCAGGAAAGATACATTGAGATTTCTCTCGTTTTCAAGTATGTCCTGGGTCCACAAATCATTGCATTGTTACATTAGGTACAACAAAATACAAAAACAATATTAATACACAATATATACAAAATTTAACATAGAACAGGCAGGAAATATATAATCAACCATGACACGTGCATTCTGTTTTGAGGTATGTAGAGAGGGATCTCTTAAAAGACTTTAGGCTTAGGGAAGATTTTAAATTGTGCGGGAGGTCGTTCCACAATTGCGGCGCTCTGTAGGAGAAGGAGGATCGGGCCGCTTTCTTTTTGTATTGAGGTAGACTAAGTAAAGTGCTTGTACTGGATCGGAGGTTATAGAAAGTGGGAACAGCTGGGGAAAGCATTTTGTTCAGGTAGGGTGGGAGTTTCCCAGAAAAGCTCTTAAAAACAAGGCTGGAAAGATGAAGGGTGCGTCTGGATTCCAGCGACAGCCAGTTTAGTTCCTTTAGCATGTCACAATGATGGGTCCTGTAATTACATTGTAGCACAAATCGGCAGAACGAGTTATACAATGTGTTGAGTTTATTAATGTGGGATTGCGATGCAGATGCATATACTACATCCCCATAATCAATGATTGGCATCAGCATTTGCTGTACAATCTTTTCCTTTACTGTAGGGCTTAGGCAGGCTTTGTTTCTGTACAGGGCACCTAATTTTGGATAAAGTTTAGATGCAAGCTTTTCTATGTGCAGGCTAAAAGATAGATTGGGGTCTAATATCATACCCAAGTATTTGAAAGAGTGGACCGCGGTCAGTGTGCCATTTGAATTTGTTTTGATGGATAGGTGGGGATTGTGTAATTTGTGTAATTTAGGTACCGTTCCAAAGATCATTGTGACAGTTTTGTCAGTGTTCAGGAAGAGTTTGTTTTTTGCGATCCACTTTTCTACCTCTGTAAACTGGTCTTGGAGCAAAGCCTCAAGTTGAGGTAGATTGGATTTGCTCGCATAGATTACCGTGTCATCTGCGTACATGTGTACATTTGAGGATTGGCAGACATTAGGCAGATCATTTATAAATAATGTAAATAGTAGGGGGCCGAGAATGGAACCCTGGGGTACACCACACGTGACCGGGAGAGGGAGGGAGTCACTGTCAGAAATGGACACATATTGCGAGCGATCCGATACATACGATCGAAACCAGTTTAAAGAATGATCACCAATACCTGAGTTTTCGAGTTTGTGCAGTAGAATGTCGTGGTCTACTGTGTCAAAGGCCTTAGCAAAATCAAGGAAAATAGCTCCAGTTAGGGCTCCTTGTTCCATGCCAGTTTGGATGTCATTGCAAACTTTTAGGAGGGCAGTTGTAGTGGAGTGATTCTGGCGAAAGCCCGATTGATCAGGGGTCAGATAGTTTAATTGTTGGTAGTACTCACAAAGTTGCGTATGGACACATTTTTCTAAGATTTTTGACAATACAGGGAGCAATGATATTGGGCGATAGTTAGAAAAATTAATTAATTAATTAATTAAAGACCGATGGGGATCTATAAAACCTCCATATGGTTTAACACCTTCCTATGCCCCCAACTGCAATGCTGCGTTTGTGTCAATGGGGCCTTTGAAATAATGGAGGAGACATATTCCTTGCCATGCCCCCATCCATGGGCATTGGGTGAGGGAATTTATAAAAAGCAACAAGGTGGACAGATCCCTGTCCAGCCCTCTGCCCCCACCTGTGGCCAGTGGATGGGGGCTATTTGATAAAATAAAAGGGGAGGACATCCTTATGACCCCAACCCATTAGTGGGTGGGAGCTAATATAATATTCAGGTGGAATCACCTAATGCCCCCATGGCGGTAAGTGGGGGTCCTCAGGCAAGTGTTGAGAGAAGATTTTCTTTTAAAACCGAGCCAGCATTTGGTCTGTATTTCAGCTGTCTAGCAGTGTTCGGTCTGGCTGAGATCTAGACCATATTCAGGCCAGTCAAGGCTAAAATTACAAAATCTGGACATTGTTAAATAGTGTGAACAATATCTAGATTTTGCAGTCCGAATTGATTTGGACTTTAGTGAGTAGAAATTAATGTGTAGAAATCATTTTGAATATATAAGCCTATTGTTAGAAGAGCAGAGCTTCATTTCCATCCCCACAAAAAATAAGGACTAGTGTACCCACCAACTGGTGTTCAAAGTCCTTGAAGAATGATAACTAGCTAACCCAATCTTTCTTAAAATAAAACACTTCTTTAGAAATATTGTGCAATCAGGTGAAAACATATGAATAATCATAGGTTTAGTGATGATCCAATTGTGCAGCAATGTTGACATAGATAAAATCGGCTATTGGATTTTGAAGACAGGTTTCACAAGCATACATGCCTAAATTACTAGTACAATTAAAAAACAGTTTTTGGTTATCTGAAAGGATTAAAGGAACTCTCCAGTACACTTCTTTGTGAGTAGACAAATTATTTTAGAATCATTTGACAATTTATCTTGGGTCTGCGGAGGACCACTCCCAACTCCACAACATCTGCTGACAAGCCAGAAGCTTCTAGTCAGCGCAGTACACAGGTTAGCTTATTGTCTGGCAGCATCAGCCATTGAGCTACACCCTGCATTGTAGAGCTCAGTCCAGCCTGAGGGCTTCTGCCTCTGTCTGAAGTAGTGGATATGGGGTACAGTGTCCCATGGACCCCTGATAAGAAGTTAAAACATTTTTAAATGGTTTTACTATTTACAAGTGCAGGGAGGGGAGTGCAGAGCAAATCACAGTGATTATGGTGATTGGAATGTTCCTTTAATGCAAGTTGTATTCAGTGCATACTAAACTCATTAAAATATTGAATCTTAGATGTAAATAGTGCATAGAGATTTGCTTCAGTTGGCCTTATTGACAATGTGCGCAGGCTTTGTTTTGTCCATCTTCTTCTGTAGTTAAATATTACATGTTTTTTCTGAAGTTAAATATGAATTGCATTTATCTTTGTTTCCATGTTGAATTTTGACAGAGATTACAGAGGATGGTCTCCCTTACACAGTGCTGCCTGCTGTGGAAATATCGCTCTAGTGAAATACCTCATACAAAAAGGTGCTTCCATTAACCAGAGAGATTTATGCAATCACACTTCACTTCATCGAGCTGCCTGGAATGGTCACACTGAGGTCGCTGATTACCTTCTAGAATGTGGGGCATCACCAGACGTTCTGACCAGTTCTGGAGAAACACCAATGCTCTTAGCAGCAGCCAATGGGCACATGCTCTGTGTCAAGTCATTACTAAATTACAAGGCCTCGCCTGACATTGGTGATAGCAATAAGTGGACCCCGCTACATTGGTGCGTCATCAATGATCACATGGATGTGCTCGACTACCTGGTATCTCTTGGAGCATCTCTAGACAGTCAGAGCAATACAGGGATGACCCTGATGCACCTGTCTGTGCTTGCAGAAAACATACACATTACAAACTACCTAGTAAAGAGGAAAATGGATGTTAATGCGAAGGATGACAGGGGGGTCACAGCTCTTCACTTAGCAGCCGAAAATGGGAACCTCGAGGTATGTTTACACAAAAACAAATTAAAATGTTTCATATAGTGTGTGTTATTCTAGTTATGTAGGCACCGTTCATGTATCCATTTTTATTTGGTGCGTAAAGTATCAGTGATTTGTAGCTTTGAGACGTCAGATGATTGTTGGCATATTGTCCAGATAAAGCCTGAGGACGTTAAATTGAAGCTGCTGCTGTGCTCCAACCGCAGAATGTGAAGTAGCCCACTTATTATCTATAGATAACATGATATAATAGTCCCTGCGCTAAACATGCTCCAAACAATTTTTCGCAGCTTGATTGTATCACAGATTACTAATAAAAATAAAGATCTACTAAAGTTACACAAAAGATAATCTAAAGAGTATGTCATGCAGTTATTTATTAAAGTGAGGATTGTCAGGAATTCAAAGTAACGTTAAAAATTTAAGGCCAAACCCTGCTATGCTTCCAGTTCAACTACTTTGACTTTAAAGGGACACTATAGTCACCAACAAAACTTACGTTTAATGAAGTAGTTTTGGTGCATAGATGATGCCCCTGCAGTCTCACTGCTTAATTCTCTGCCATTTCAGAGTGAAAGTACTTTGTTTATATAGCCCTAGGCTTATCTCCCTACATGTGACTTATACAACCTTCCTAAACACTTCCTGTAAAGAGTCATCTAATGTTTACACTTCCTTTATTGCAAATTCTGTTTCATTAAGAATTTCTTATCTGCTGCTTTGTTAACAGCTTGCTAGATCCTACAGGAGCCTCCTGTGTGTGATTTAAGTTCAATTTAAAGAGCAGGAGATAAAAACGTTTAACCCCTTAAGGACCAAACTTCTGGAATAAAAGGGAATCATGTCATGTGTCCTTAAGGGGTTAAAGTAAGTTGCATCTGACTGAAAATGAAACCATTTAGTTTTCATGCAGGCTGTATCAGTCATAGACAGGGGAGGTGTGGCTAGGGCAGCATAAACAGAAACAAAGGTGATTTAACTCCTAAATTATCTGCAATAATCTCTTTAGTAAAGAACTCTGTTCATAAAAGTCAGCTCTGGTTACATATTGTGATTTAGTATTATTTTCTAACATGTCAGTTGTGTATGTTTATTTTAAATGAACACTCCAAGTACTATGGCTACTACATTATTTATGGTACTGGGAGTGCCCTAGTTCTCCCCGCAATGTAAATAGTCAAACTGTATGCTAACAGTTTGATTTATTCACAGGGGATCACCGGGCGCTGGTCCCAGCCTCTCCTCTTTCTGTATTGAATGCTGCAACATTCTGCTAGGACCTTCCACTAGTTTTACTGAGCTATGCCTGCAGTCAGGGCCAGCTCACTGCCTGGGAGCATCAGCTGATAGCTCTCAACCAGTATGGTAAGCCTTGCACCATCAGGATTAGCTCAGGCAGAGACCTTCTGGCTCTCAGAGAGGCAGGGACGGCTTACTTTAGGCAAAAAGTCAAACCGTTGGCAAAAGGTTTTACTACTTACATTAGGGGGCGTTAGGGAACTCCTAGCATCATAAACACTACAGTGCACTGTAGTAGTTATGGTGTTTCAAGTGTTTCTTTAATTTACTTGAAAATTAACAGTCAGGGGGTGCGGAGCTTGACCACCAAGCAGAACAGATGTGTGCCACAAGAGCTCCTGCACCTAACATCTATTTTTGTGGCATATTTCCAAGCCAAACCACTTTCTGCCTGCAGTGAAGCAATATATACTATACCGGGGTCGACGGTGCGTCTTGAGATACCTCACCGGCACAGGATTGCTTGGCTCGAGGTCCTGCAGCCTACAGGTGATAAAGCGGAGGAGAGACGGACACTCTCCTAGTGCTCCGCCAGACCGTGAGAAGACTGAATATCGCTGCAGACCAGTGGGGGTTATCCCAGTCCCCTCGGGCTAGCTCTAAATACTCACGCAGCCGGCTGACACCCAACACGGCAGGAGCTGGGATCAGAGCCGACACACACAAGATGGTGCTTGAGCCCCCAACACAAGTGCATGTGGCGCAGCATGCTGAAACGGCTCACCTAAGCGTGGCTGACAAAATGCTACAGTGACTGGATTTGATATTTGAGCACTTCTGTGCACAACTAGAGTCTCGTCTCGTCTGTCTGCATCACCGTTGCACCAGGAAGGTGAAGGGACAGGAGAGACCACCTCAGGGCAATCAACCACCTAAGACAACATCTACGCCACCTGTACCTCTTACTAAACACCTACCTGAGCTCAAGGCCATTCGGGACATTATCCCGTCACACAGAACACAGCAATGAAGGACCCACCACCGTCCACAGCGGCAGACCTTCACTGTGAGGGCCATGGACTTTGCTCACACTCGTGCCTGTGGCATTATGATACAGCTTCTCCCTCATGCCTGGGATTGTGGAGGAACCTTGATGCACCCAGATCTCGCCACCCTACAAGATTATCCTGCTTCACCGAACCAGGGGATTGGCTGGCACAAATGCTACCAAGGGCTCATAGCCCACTTTCCACAAGGGCTAATACCACTTCTCTGCCCTTCTTAGCCCGGGTGGCTTTCACCACTGACCATGTTACCTATGCTGCTGCCGAGGTCCTCTATACTCTTGTAACTTTATCTCGCCAACAGCACTTGGTGTGTGTAGGATGTAGGGACACAGCCTGATCTGTTAAGTTCTCCTTGTATATGGCAGACTATTATACCCACTGGCTAGCATCTCTCCTGACAGACTGCCTTACTTTTTTTTTTTTCTTGATGCTTAGACAGCTTTGCCTAACAAGTTCCCTACGTACTCTACGTAAAATGTGCAGTCTCTTCACAATGCTGACCAACTGTTATATTATGTTGTTTCTTGCATCTGTATTTCTCATTTAATAACTATGTCAACTACATACAATGTGTAGAATTTCATAACTGACAGTAAAGCTCTTCTTGTGCATCTAGACTCATCTGTATAGCATGTTATAATTTAAAAAAAGGTGCTGTGACTCAAACATTTTATATTACCACAGAATTTAAATGTATTGTGTATACTTGTACAACTTCCACAGAAGCTTGTGTTCTTAATATGCACCGATAAAAAATACAAATTCTAAGGAAATTAACAGTCCAGCACTCCTTCATGTTTACAGAAATCCACTTGAGTATGACTGATTATAACTATGACTTGTCAAAGGTCAATTGCTGGCTGAAAAGGTCTCTTTCAATATGCTGTAATTAAAGGAACACTATAGGCACCCAGACCACTTCAGCTCATTGAAGTGGTCTGGGTACAATGTCCCTATTTCACTTGTGCAGTGCTGCAATGTTAAATATTACAGTTCCAGAGAAATTGCAATGTTTACATTGCAGCACTAAACCTGCCTCCAGTGGCTGTCTACCAGACAGCCACTGGAGACGCTTCCTTCGTCCAAACAGACCTTTGGTCCGGTAACTGGCGCTGGACGTCCTTATCAGATTTTCCCCCATAGGAAAGCATTGATTCGCGGCACGGAGGAGGTGGCAGAGCCAAGACCCAGCGCAGAGGGACATGTGTTGGAAGCAGGAAAAATGGGAAAGTGAAAAGATTTGAGTAACTTTGACAAGGGCCATATAGTCTTGGTTAGACAACTGGATCACAGCATCTTTAAAATGGCAAATGGCAAGTCTTGTCAGACAGTATGTAGTAATTAGTACCTACAAAAAGTGATGTAAGAAAGTACAGCTGGTGAACCGGTGTCAGGATTATGGGTGCCCAAGGCTCATTGATATATGTGGGGAGTGAAGGATAACCCGTCTGATCTGATCACATAAAAGAGCTACTGTAACTCACACTGCTGAAAATAATGTACTCTGGGCATGATAGAAAGGTGTTAGAACACACCATACATCACAGTTTGCTGTGTATGGGGCTGCATAGCTGCAGACCAGTCAGAGTGCCTATGATGACTCTTGTCAACCGCCAAAAGCACTTCAATGGGTACATGAGTTTCCGAACTGTACCATGGAGCAATTGAAGAAGGTTGCCTCGTCTGGGTTGCCTCGTCTCGTCACATTTTCTTTTAGGTCAGGTGGATTACTGGGTTTGTGTATATTGTTTACCTGGGGATGAGATGGCAGCAGGATGCACTATGGGAAGAAGGCAGGCTGGCAGAGGCAGTGTTATGTTCTGGGCAATTTTCTGCTGGGAAACCTTGGGTCCTGGCATCAATGTGGATGTTACTTTGACGCGTACCACCTACCTAGAGAGAGGTCGTTGCAGACCATGTACACCCCTTTGTGACATTTGTGTTTCCTTATGGCAGTAGCCTCAGCAGGATAATGCACCCTGACACAAAGCAAAAATTGTTCAGGAATGGTTTAAGGAACAAGATAAACAGTTCAAGGTGTTGTCTTGGCCTCCAAATTTCCCAGATCTCAATCTGATTGAGCATCTGTGGGATGTGCTGGAGCAACAAACTTGATCCATGAAGGTAACTTGTAAGACTTAAAAAGACACTATAGGCATCCGGACCACTTGAGCTCATAGAAGTGGTCTGGGTGCAATGTCCCAGGTCCCTTCACCCTGCACAGATTTGTTTTAAGAAACTGTAATAATTAACTTTCAGGGTTAACTCCGCCTCTAGTGGCTGTCTACTAGACAGCCACTAGAGAGACTTCAGGGCTGTTAAGCGATTTTGCCATTACAGCACACGCGCAATAGGTCTCCCCTGTCGACGTCAGTCGAAAGATGAGAAGGTGAACCCTAGCCATCGGCGCTAGACCCAAGTAAGTGACAGAGGTTTTGAGGGAGGGGAGTGGAAAGGGGGCGCGAAGGAGGGAAAAGCTATAGTGCCAGGAAAACAAGTTTGTTTTTCCTGGTACTATAGTTTCCCTCTAAAGTATCTGCTGCTAATATCTTGTCAGATACCACAGGACATGTTCATAGGTCTTGTGGAGTCCATGCCTCAAAACATTAGAGCTGTTTTGGCAGCATGAGGATGACCTACACAATATTAGGCAGGTGGTTTTAATGTTGTGGCTAATCAGTGTATGGCAAAGGGGACACTCTAAAGTAGTGTGCAAATACCAGGAGCTGACCTGTGATACTGGCTCAAATATAGTGGTCTAAAAAGGTACATTATAACAACATCAATACAGTGCAGGATAAATATAAAATATATGTACTGTGCCTTTAAGAAATGGAAAAGGGGGAATAGGAAATATAAAAGCAAAAAGGAAATACTGAGGAATATAAAAGGAAGGAATAAAAAGAAAATAAAAAGAGTAAAAATAATTTAGAAGATAAAAATACAACAGATAAAAGCAGAAACAAAAATGAGAATAAGAAGTAATAAATGGTATTAAAAATGTGCAGCAAATATGTGTGCAGTGCAAGTGTCTCTATCCCTGATCCAAAGCAGGGTAGTTGATACTTGCTCCAAATAATATACTTTGTATATTACAAAGATAAAATTAAAATAGAAATAAAAATATATATAATGTAGCAATACAGTATAGAAGACTGTTATGGTAATACAAGCAGTGTATCACATAAGATGGAAAGCAATGGCACAAACTGGATGTAAATTACAAAAAACTGTTTATTGAACAAAATGTTAAAAAATATATGTCAGGAATAGTTCATACAGATGTTACCAGTCTTATAAGAGTCTGTAATGTGCAAGGACCTTCGGATTTGGCTAGGATTGATGTGGATTGCCTTGACAAGCTGCCGCTTGAAATCCGACCGCCGGTGAGGACGGCGTGATTCTGGGTGTGCGTCCTGACAAAGATCTCACTCCGGGGGACGTGTACTGCAGACGGTTCTGTTTCACAAGTGTACCAATGGCCCTGAACGGATACAGACTTCTGCTGGTGTGTGCTCTGTATGCTCTGCTGGATCTGTGTCCTGACAGCTGAATCTGTCTTACGCGTTTCATAGGAGAACGCCCTACTTCTTCAGAGACAGGATGTGGACCATTGCTTCAATATTTCTTATATATACATGCTTTTAATTGTTAATAAAAACTATTATTATATATTACATTCTAATTACATGGTATAAAAGGCTTAGATAGACATATGTATTATATCTGTATAGTGCAGTCAAAACAAGCAGTAATTAAATGTGTGATGTGCACACCGAACATAATAATCAAAGTTATAAGATAATTGCACATTCATATAGAAACCTAATTGTCAGTCAAGGTGATATACTTGTAGTACATTTTGCACTTCATGACATGATAGGTTAAAGGGTTAAAGAAATGCATGCAACTCAAAATGTATGTTAAGTCCTTTAGGGACTAGAGTATCTAATTCGAAGATCCACTTCGCTTCTGTTTGATTGAGTATTTTGTCGATGCTATCTCATCTGCAGTGTACATTTACTTTTTCTATAGCTAGAAATTCACGTCCCATGGGGTCTCCCCCATATGTTTCCTTAAAGTGCTTCGAGAGGTTGTGTGTTAGAAGTCCCTTTCTAACATTCCTAATGTGCTCCGCAATGCGTACTTTCAGTGGTCTCTTCGTGTGTCCAATATATTGTTTCGGGCACGGGCAACTAATAAGATAGTTGACTCCTGAAGTGTTGCAGTTCATATTACTTTTAAGGTCATATTCTTCTTGGTTGGTCAATGATGGAAATCTTGTAGTTACTTCTTCTGTTGATGGATTATTCTTACATGCTAGACATTTCTTACATCTTGTAAACCCATGAGTGGAGTCTTGGCCTATGGTGGTGTTAGAAGATTTAATGGTAGGTGCCAGCATAAGTTGGATATTGGAGGCTCTTGTAAATATGATCTGTGGTTGGTGATCGAGGAATTTGGAGAGGGTTGGGTTACTCTTAAGAATTTCCCAGTGTTTTTTCAGAAACTTCTGTATTTTGAGCGCTTTGTGGTTATATTTGGTGATAAAGGTATGTGCCGAGGTGTGTGATTCCATAGTTTTGTTTTTTTCGCATAGAGTGTCTTTCCTTTGAATAGATAGTGCTTTCTCCATGGCTTCTCCCAGTCGTGCTGCAGGGTATCCTTTATCTACAAATCTTTTTTTCATTTCATCCATTTGGTTCCTACAGACATCAACTTTAGAGCAGTTGCGTCTAACTCTCCTAAATTGGTTCTGAGGTATATTCCTTAACCATGTGGGTTTGTGATGACTGTTAAAAGGAATAAAACTGTTACAATCAACGTTCTTTTGAAAAGATTTCATATGAATCCTTCCTTCCTCAATGTAAATATTAAGATCTAAAAACTCAATCTGTTCTTTAGAGTGATTAAAAGTAAATTTCAAGTGATAAGGATTATTGTTGAGGTAGATCTTAAATTCCTCTAGGGATTCCAGATTTCCTTTCCATATGAAGAAGCAGTCGTCGATATATATGCACCATAGGGACAGATTTGCGCCAAATGGGCAGTGGGTCCATATGAATTCTTCCTCCCACTTGCCCATAAATAGATTAGCATAGCTTGGCGCAAATCGTGTCCCCGTGGCTGTACCTTCTATCTGGAGATAAAATAGATCATCACACCAAAAATAGTTATGGGTGAGGATAAAAACGATGCACTGAATTAAAAAATCGATTTGATCATTTTAAAATTCTGAGTATGTGGCTAAAGAGAATTGTATAGCTTCACATCGCTGAAGATGTTCAATCACTGTATACAATGAAGTGACATCGGCAGTAAATAAAAACATATCGTTGTCCCACTTAAAATCAGATAAAAGATTTAAAATCTGGGTGGAGTCTCTCAGGTAGGATTTGAGGCATAAAACTAAATGTTGTAGATAATGATCAACGTATTCTGAAAGGTTAACGGTGAGAGATCCAAATCCGGATATAATCGGTCTCCCAGGTTTCTCCAATCGCTTATGGAGTTTGGGCAGCTGGTAAAACACTGGTATCCTTGGAAATTGAGTGTGTAAGTACTTGAACTCTCTTTCATTGAGAATACCCCTACCCTACCCATAACTGAGTATTTCTTTGAGTTCTCCTTGATATTGTAGAGTGGGGTCATAGTCAAGTTTAAGGTAGGTGTTAGTGTCTCCTAGTAGTCTTCTGTTCTCTTCAATATAGTCCTCGGTGTTCAGGATGACTAAACCACCTCCTTTATCCGCTGCTTTGATTGTGATGTCTTCAAGTTTCATAAGCTGTTTTAGTGCATTCCATTTTTGGTCAAGTTATCCTTGGTGATCTTGTTAGTGATCTCATTTCTGAAATCCTTCTCACCCATCTTTTCGAATACTTTGATGGAATCATTCTTGACATAGTGTGGGTAAAATGTTGCGCTAGGGTGCAGTCTGGTATGTATGTATTCTTGTTCTGTCTCCTGTTGTGTTACATCTTTGTGTTACTTCTTATTCTCATTTTTGTTTCTGCTTTTATCTGTTGTATTTTTATATTTTTTCCTTTTTATTCCTTCCTTTTATATTCCTCAGTATTTCTTATTTGCTTTTATATTTCCTATTCCCCCCTTTTCCATTTCTTAAAGGCACAGTAAATATATTTTATATTTATCCTGCACTGCATTGATGTTGTTATATTATACCTTTTTAGACCACCATATTTGAGCTAATATCACAGGTCAGCTCCTGGTATTTGCACACTACTTTAGAGTGTCCCCTTTGCCATTTTTTCCTGTAGGTTTTAGTGAATCCCTATCTGTTTCCAGTTTGAGCGGCCCAGTGTTAGTCAGACTCCCTCTCCTCTGTGTGTTACACTAGGTATACCAGAACCACTTACTCCTGATCAGTGTATAGGTTCATTTTCTTTCTTGGCTCCTAGTTTCTTCAGGGAGTGGGGAAGAATGTATCTTTACATAGTCCACTAATACATTTTTGTCATCAAAATGGTTTATCACAGATAAAATTAAAAGATTGCCCCAAGCACCACAACCACTTCAGTGATGTAAAGTGGTTATGGTGCCTGGAGTCTGTATGTACAACATTTCACCACGCCCAAGGTAAGATGGTAAACATTTATTTGTGAACGTGACCAGGTTATGCCTCATGCCTTAACCACTGCAGTGGGGTTGTAGTAACCCTGTAACACTCAGTAGTTTCCTCTCTGCATTGCAGTAGTAGGAAAGGTTAGCTGGGAAGTAACTGGCATGCTGATGCTCTCAGCCTACCAATGTGTGCTGATTGAAAAAAATGGTACGTACTTTTAGGTACATGGCAGTTACATAGTTCTCTCAGCCTAGGAACACTTTGCTATGTACTTAGTGATAAAAGGGCACACTGTGTCAGTATTTTCAGTCATGTATGTATACATAATTTCTATGCGTTATAAGTGCTGCAGTATTTACCAGTTCATTGTCCTATTATTATTGCAACTCCAGAGTAAATAACTAATGAATCACTAGAAGACATTCTAGAATATCATACTTGGCCACTACGTGGTGTGTAAATGCAGTTAACAGTTTCAGGAGTGAATGGTAATAATGTAGTTCTCAAGTTATTACTCATTGTATTACATTTCTCAAAAACCTACTGGGTGCTTCTTTTTTTTTTTTTAAATCTTTTTATTTTTTTTACTTTATTTTTGTAGTACACACTTCACATGTTAACTGAACCAGTTGATTAATATATATGACTTTTCTACCTCCAAAGATAATGGTACTTATTTAGTCTAGATCGGAAGGATATGTCTTTTTTTTTTTTATTACAGATAACTAATTTCTCAAAGATATCCTAACACATACTTGATATTACATACTAAGGAGTATAGAAATGAGGGGGCACCATCACATTTGTATATTAATAGTTTACCTTGGGTTAATATTATATTTTAAAGGCACAGGTATATCCCTAAATGTAAAAAATAAGGGGATATGTACAATAATTATTAAAAGCATAGCAACTATAGAAATATTAATATCCTGACCAGCCAAAGACCATTGGGAGTTAAACCCGCAAGCAGCAGCTGCAATTTGTGACTGTCTTCCTTAATAAAGCCCCTCTCCCTTCCATTAGTAATATGCAGGGAGAGGAGCTAAGGTGAAAGAATTGCATGGTCTTTCTCTCCCCACACCCTCTGCTGGCATATCAGAAAAGGGTCTGGTATATCATTATTATTTATAAAGCGCCTACAAATTCTGCAGCTCTGTACAATGGGTGGACTAACAGACACGTAATTGTAACCAGACGAGTAGGACGCACAGGAACAGAGGGGTTGAGGGCCCTAGCTTACATGCTAGATCATTCACCCCCTTCAGAAAATACGTGAATAGTTTGCATTGGCTGCAAATAACAACTGCTGCGGATCATGAGTGTAGCTCATTATATAACATTTTTTAGGAAGGGCTGGACATGTATGCCCCAATGCTATCTACAGAATAGGTGCCCCAAACTTTGCAGTGTCAACTACACCATGCAGTACAGGATTTGAAAACATTAAAAACCTATTAAAATACCATCCAATATACCACTGATCGATCATTCTCAGCTGCAATAATTTCATATATCTGTCAGGAAGTTGCATATTGTATATGACCCTGGAGCAATCTACAATATGCTAAAGAAACCCATACCTATTATTTAACCTCTGTTATGGAGTAAATATCTCATTTTATTTTCATGATAATGCTAGGATACATGGCATGCAGTTAATCATATCCATAAATCTTGTCTCAGATTCTAGAATTCCTGCTGAGGAAAATGGCGAATGTGACTGAAATGGATGAAAATCAGCTTACTCCTCTACATCTAGCAGCCAGACAAGGAAATGTCAGGGCAATAAGCCTTTTACTGCAACACGGGGCTGACATAAATAGCACTGATTCACTGGACTTAACCCCCCTACATCAAGCAGCCTACAGGGGTCACAGTGAGGCGTCTTCCTGCCTCCTCCAACATGGAGCTGACATCAGCTACAAAGACTGCCTTGGGAAAACAGCATTACATATTGCAGTGGAAAGGGGTCATTTCAGCGTGGTTAGAATCCTAAAAGAATCGGGAGCTGACCCAACTGTTAAAACAAAATGGAATGAGTCCGCTATGGATATGGCCGTACGAGCCAACCGTAAGGATATCCTTAATATTTTGACCATGGGAGGTATGAACCTGTGCTAAGAAACTGCACAATCTCTCACAGTATCGTAGCAATGAAGACTCAAATTGGAAATATCAGCTAAACAAAACTCACGTTAAACAGCAGAACAAGAATAATTGTGTCTATGTGTACTGTTAATGATTTATACAAGAATTGTGACAATCTGTGCTTCAAGAACACTCAAAACATGGTGTATTTCCTAACAATACATTTAAGAGCATAAACCAATAAAGCAGAAATTGTATTGTGTTGTAATAATACCATTGTCAATATATCTCATGACAGAACATGCAATACACAAACTTATCAAATCCAAAAGTGTTAAAGGGACACTATAGTCACCCAGACCACTATAGTCACCCAGACCACTTCAGCTCAAGTGGTCTGGGTGCCAGGTCCTCCAGGTTTTAACCCTTCAGATGTAAACATAGCAGTTTCAGAGAAACTGCTATGTTTACAATGCACGGTTTATCCAGCCTCTAGTGGCTGTCTTCCTGACGGACGCTAGAGGAGCTTCTGCGACACTGGATGCTAAAATCGCATTCAGCATGCTGCGCATGCGCATTCCGCTCCACTCGGGAGCAGATGTCGGTGGGGAACGAGAGGTCACCAGCGACGAAGGAGCCCGGCGCTGGATTAAGGTAAGTGCCTGAAGGGCGGGAGGGGGACCCTGATGGTGGGGGGGAACCTAAGGGTTATATAGTGTCAGGAAAACGAGTTTGTTTTCCTGACACTATAGTGATCCTTTAATGTGATCCAGAAATTATAATTTCATATACAATACCATTCATTGCTACCTTATATTAAGCGCTGAAGTTTTTGAGATCACAATCCTGGGAGTTATGGACGATTTAACTGCACCATCTGACATTTTACCTCTTAAAGAGGCTTGAAAATATTTGGTAATATTAACAAGCAAAGTGAACAAATTAATTTTCATCAATTAAATTATTAAAGACTAAATAAATACTCTACTATTCTATAATTTACATACAATGTAAAGTATCAAAATTGATCATTTAATTACACAGTAGCACAATACCGGAGATGTCATTTTAAAAAGGGACCTTGATGAAACAGACACACTGCACTTATCTAGATGAATTATATACCTATCAAGTATTTGCTACATTAATAGATAAACTGAAATTTGGTCCATGGAGTCCTATTTATCTTCTCTAGTGCGCCTCCATTTAAAGGGGCACTATAGTTACCAGAACAACTACAGCTTAATGTAGTTGTTCTGGTGAGTATAATCGCTCCCTTCAGGCATTTTCATGTAAACACTGCCTTTTCAGAGAAAGGCAGTGTTTACATTGCCCCTAGGGACAAGAAGGGATTACAAGAAGGGAGAAGCATAAATAAGAAATTGCTATCAGAAGGAAAAAAAATGTAAAATTGGTTAAGAAATTATGATTTAATCGATATATGGAGAACTACAAACCCAGAAAAAAAAATATTTTACATTTTATTATATACCCTTTAATTATTACTCATGTATAGATTTATTCTTATCTACAACCTCTATCTTTTATGAAAACTTAAAATGTGAAATTTCAATTTCCACTTGGTCAGATCATGCGCCATTATTTCTTGAATTAAAACCGAGTAAAAATAATGTTACACAAGAATGGAGACTTAATGAATCCCTTCTTAAACAAAAGTATATCATGGAAAGCTTGCAAAAAGAAATAAAACATTATTTCCATGAAAATAAAAGGGGAATTACTTAGTAAGCATTCAAGGCATTAATTAGAGGGCAGATAATTAAAGGGAAAAAATGTTTACCTATCCAACAATTATATATCCATTTATCTCAATTGGAAAATCTTAAAATCTTTGAAGAAATTTATAAAATTAGAGTTCAAATAAAACTTAAAAATGTAGAAAGAATGAATTTAAACCTCTTGCCTTTAAAACAAAAATGGTATAGCCAAGGAAATAGGGCTAATAGAATGATGTCCAATACGCAAAAAAAAAAAAAGAAAAAATATAAAATTGACAAAATAACAGAAAAAGGGAAGATAATACTGGATCCAGTAAAAATAGGCATTTCCTTTTCAGATTTTTATAAAATATAATATCACTTAGGTTAAGATTGTGATCTATTAGAAGCTCAAGAAAAAATTTAATATTTGGAGAGATTTTATTATTCTAATATATCTGATGTTGATTATGAAATCTTAAATACTCCAATAACTTTGCAAGAAATTTCAAATCTGATTCAAAATTTAAAGACAAATAAATCACTGGGTCCGGATGGATTTTCTAATATTTTTTATAAAGTTTTTGAAAAGGATCTGGAAAATCACCTATTGGATATATTTAGGGAAATTGGAGAAGGGAAAATGCCAAGAGAGATGTTACTAGCAAACATATCTCCCATCTTAAAGCTTGGTAAAGATAAAACATTAATTAAAAATGTTAGACAAATCTCTCTTATAAACGTAGATACGAAGATATACTGATAGGTGTGGGCAAATAATTTAATTATAACTCCTTGTTAAATAAATTTAAAAATAAATTAAATGAATGGAAAAAACTTACCATTTCATTGATAGGTAGAATAGAAACAATTAAATATTACATACTACCTAAACTTAACGTTTCTTTTCAGATCTATCTGTAAATATTAATAAAGATTGATTATCCCCAAATGGTCAGACTGAGAATGAATGAGGTATGAATGTTTATGTTGTCATCACCAAATTAGATACAGATAGAGAAGAGAAGGGAGAAGAAGAGACGAGGTAGGAAAGCTATAAGAAAGGCACATCTATAAGTCTTTCTCCTTCCTTAAGTAGCTGGTGTAGGTGTTTTTAGATGTATTGTTAGATTTATAGGTGTAGTATTATTAAAGAAAGGTAAATAAAAATATAATTAAAATAAGTAAATGATGATAGAGGTATCGGAAATAAATCAGAGCTTGGTGCTTGGCATAGTCCAAGAAAAAAGTGAGATGATACCCATCTGATATTTAAAAATAAAAATAAAAAAATGCTGCTGCCTCTATTAAAACACCAACCTGGTAAATGAAGCTGTCATAGATGGACAGCAGTAATAGTTGATCGGTTGGTGTCAGCTAATTCAGCAGTTCCACTCATCAGAACAGATGATTTGAACTGTTGCTGGGGGCTAAACTATATACCCACCATAATCTCTGCTGAATAGAGGTTTGAATGAGATGTTATAGACCATTATAACATCTCATATCAATTATCGATTGATAAACCTTCCCCTGTTTTAGAAGGCGTTGTTAACTGTTGCATGTTTAAAAGTACTCTTTTTTTCAATATGTGTATATATATATATATATATATATATATATGTAAAAAACAGATAAAATTCTTATCTTGTAATACCTTTTTTATTGGACTAACAGAATTTTTTTAATGACAAGCTTTCGGGAGAACCTCCCTTTCTCAAGTCTGAAGCATTTCTGAGCAAAACTACACATAGAATTCAAAGTTGAGTTGTGATACAGGGGTTAAAGCGACATGAGTGTAGATAAGACACAGGTTTGTTAGAAAATAGACACCATCTTAGCAGAGGGTCATAAATATCTTGTTGAAGAGAAGAGTAGGGGGGAGAGAGAGAAAAGAAAAACAAACAAGCAGACAGTGCACAGGATGATACACTTTATACATGCACACACACAGAAATATGTATATGTGAACGCATAAACACATGTATATATACATAAACACATATACATACATGCACATGGACTCATATACACAAATATAAATGCACAGTAATATATATAAGCATTCATGCATACGAGTATGGGAAAGCATAGGTCTACACATAGTACTTTGTATATAGATAGAATAAACATATAGGAATGCATTTTAAAGTGTTGGTACATATGACAGAACAGTAAGATAATGCTGGGAGAGTGTTCATGTAAAGTGTTGGTAGTGGGACAGGAATCCCAAATCAATATTTAGTCCTCTCTTCTTGCTGTTAAACCATTTAATCATTCTGGCTTCAAAGGCTTTTCTTTCCTGGGTATTTTTAAAACCCCCTTTCAGTACTTTGATTTTTAGGTCCTTCAGTGAGTGGCCAGGCTGGGTAAAGTGGTGTCCCACAGGAGTGCAGTATGATTCTTCTTTGTGGTGTTTAATAGAGTGTCTGTGCATATTCATTCTGCCATTTAATGGCTGGGTGGTTTCCCCAATGTAGCATCCTAGGTGGCATTTTATGCATTGAATCATGTATACCACATTGCTGGATGTGCAGGAGTATGAACCTTTAATGCTGTAGGTTTTATTGTTGTGTGTGGCTGTGTTGTCTGTGCATATGTGCTGACACAGTTTGCAGCGAGTATATATAAATATATATATATATATACAATCTATCTATATATATATATATATATATATATATATTTATATATATATATTTTTTTTCTATACAAAGCATTATAAAGGGGGTTACCTTGCCATATGGAATGTTCTTTTAACCCCTTGACACTGTTGCGGCGTTCTATGCCGTCCCCATTCTAATGGGCTTTAAAGCCGTTGCGGCGGCATAGAACGCCGTAACGCGTTAAGCCCCCAGGAGTTCCGGTGGACTTACCTCTGCCGTGATCATCTTTGGGAGGACTGCCTGACAGCCCAGGCAGCCCTCCCACGGCAAATCTGGCCCCCTATAACTGGCTGTGGATCTGCCAGCAGGGGGACTGCCTGGGCTGTCAGACAGTCCCCCTGCTGGTGAGTAGTGTAAAAACTTGTTTAAAATAAACTAAATGTGCATATATATATATATATATATATGTAGAGATTGTAGCCGTATTAGTCCAGTGATGTAGATGTAAAAAACATAATTATGCTAAAAGATTACTTAAGTATACACATAGAATTTTAATATATATACATATATATGTATTTAAATTCTACGTGTACACTTGTTTAAAATAAACTAAATGTGCATATAAATATATATATATATATATATATATATATATAAGTAGAGATTGTAGCCGTATTAGTCCAGTGATGTAGATGTAAAAAACATAATTATGCTAAAAGATTACTTAAATATACACATAGAATTTTAATATATATACATATATATGTATTTATATAACGTTATACGTAGTGTATTTTAATATTAATATAAGTACATATTAGTATTAAAATACACTTAGAATGAAGATACATATATATAATACATGTATTTTATATTTATATATACACGCATAAATACAATAATAAATAAATAAATGAAAATAAATTATATATACATATGTAATTTCATTCTTACTGTATTTTGTTATTTATATATATATATATGTATATATACATATATATATATATATAGGTAACAAAATACACTTAGAATGACATTCTATATATGTATCTATCTATAAATAAAATACAAATAACCACAAATATATATATATAGATAAAAATATATAATTACATAAGTGTACACGTAGAATTTAAATACATATATATGTATATATATTAAAATTCTATGTGTATATTTAAGTAATCTTTTAGCATAATTATGTGATTTTATTAATTAAAATTTTATTGACATGCCTGACAACCCAGGCAGAAAGTGCAGAGAATGTAATTCGCAAGCACTATATTTAACCCTGTAACTTTCCAAGACACAATAAAACATGTACATGGGGGGTACTGTTTTACTCAGGAGACTTCGTTGAACACAAATATTAGTGTTTCAAAGTGGTAAATTGTATTACAACGATATTTTTAGTAAAAGTGACGTTTTTTGCATTTTTCGCACATGAACGCACCTTTACTGTTTTGAAACACTAATATTTATGTGCAATGAAGTCTCCCAAGTATAACAGTACCCCCCATGTACAGGTTTTATGGTGTTTTGGAAAGTTAGAGATTCAAATATAAGGCATTTCATTTTTTTCACATTAAAATTTGCCAGTTTGGTAATGTTGCCTTTGAGACCGTGTGGTAGCCCAGGAATGAGAATTATTCCCCATGATGGCATACCATTTGCAAAAGTAGGGAACCCAAGGTCTTGCAAGTGGGATATGTCCAGTCTTTTTTAGTAGCCACTTAGTCACAAACACTGGCCAAATATTTGTTTTTTGCTCTTTTCACACAAAAACAAATATGAATGCTAACTTTGGCCAGTGTTTGTCACTAATAGTGATGTCACGAACAGTTCGCGACATCACTAGTCACTAAGTGGCTACTAAAAAAGACTGGACATACCCCACTTGCAATACCTTGGGTTGTCTACTTTTGCAAATGGTATGCCATCATGGGGGTAATTCTCATTCCTGTGCTACCACATGGTCTCAAAGGTAACATTACTAATCTGGCAAATTCCAATGAGAAAAAAAACTGAAAAATTGAATGCGCTAAATTTGACCCTGTAACTTCCCAAAACACTGTAAAATCTGTAAATGGGGGGTACTGTTGTACTTGTGAGACTTTGCTGAATACAAATATGTGCGTTTTATTGCTAAAAGCTAACAGTATTATGACATTTACAGCTAAAATGTTAGGCGGAGCTAGAATTTTATTTTAAAAATCTTTATTTCTCACAGTTTTTTAATTTTATTTATAGTAACTTATGTTTCATATATGAATAGTTCATGCGAAATTAAAGCCCTGTTTCTCCTGACTAAAATGATATATAATAAGTGTGGGTGCACTTAATATGAAAGGGGTGAATTACAGTTGAACAGACAGCGTGAATTCCAGTTTTTGTTTACATTTTCTTTTGATCAGACTCTGTCCTGAAGGGGTTAAAGGAAGCAGTATTATATATAAAATTATACACATAAATATAACTAGATGTTTGTATAGTTTTCTTTTCACTGTAGTGCATACAGACATGGCTGAACGTGCTGTGAGTTGGTTGTGTATACACATTCCCACACTATACCATTCCTGATCATGCTAAGCACTGTATGACATTTAGCTTGATGGACAGCATTACACCCTTTCTATAAACCCCTGTGTCCTGCAGTAGAGCAAGAGATATCCACAGTACTGAAAACTATTGGAGGACCAGGACTGGCTGAGAAGTCCCAGCTACTTACTGAGTATTAATAATAATAAGTGAGATTTTTTTTTTTTTTTTTTTTAAAGTGACTCTCAGCACCAGCCTGCAGAACTGGTGAATTTACTTATTGAGAAAGATGTCATCCAGCAAACCTACCATTTCTACATGTAATGTCAGGGGTGCAGTCTGCCTCCTAAAGTCTAACCAGTAAATATTTTTAATAATATCAGAATTTTAGGACAGGTTTTAGATCTTTCTGCTAATGTGAACTAAAAAACACAAAGGTGAGATATATCCTGGTGACATGGGTGAGTAACAGCTCAGCATTTGTGCACCAGCTATGTTGAGCACAGCTCCATATGAGGCTCACCAACCCCTATGACGCTCAGCCAGCCAGTCAGCGATGAGTGAGACTCTCCAGTGACCTGCTCACCATGGAATGTCTCACTGGCGGTGAAAGCCTACAGTAAGAGGGATTGCAGGTTCTGCTCTCCACCAATCACATTCCACGGCTGGCTAGGACGTCATTAAGTCTCGGCTGTTATGAAGCAACAATGTAGCGCCGGCTACAGGAAACCGCGGCGTAGGGATATACCGGGTAGCGCAGCTGGTCTGTGAAGATCTCCTTGTAAATTCCGGAAAAGAGTACGTCACGGGAAACACGTGATTGCGCAATCCCTATGGGAACACTGCGTCAACCCCCACTGCTTCCTTAACTTCCAGTGTGCAATCACCATGGAAACACTGCGTCAGCTCCCACTGCTTCCTTAACTTCCTGTGTGCAATCACCATGGAAACAATGCGTCAGCCCTCACTGCTTCCTTAACACACAGTTTGCAATCACCATAGAAACACTGCGTCAGCCCCCACTGCTTCCTTAACTTCCAGTGTGCAATCACCATGGAAACACTGCGTCAGCCCCCACTGCTTCCTTAACTTCCTGTGTGCAATCACCATGGAAACAATGCGTCAGCCCCCACTGCTTCCTTAACACACAGTTTGCAATCACCATAGAAACACTGCGTCAGCCCCCACTGCTTCCTTAACTTCCAGTGTGCAATCACCATGGGAACACTGCGTCAGCCCTCACTGCTTCCTTAACTTCCAGTGTGCAATCACCATGGGAACACTGCGTCAGCCCCCACTGCTTCCTTAACTTCCTGTGTGCAATCACCATGGAAACAATGCGTCAGCCCTCACTGCTTCCTTAACACACAGTTTGCAATCACCATAGAAACACTGCGTCAGCCCCCACTGCTTCCTTAACTTCCAGTGTGCAATCACCATAGAAACACTGCGTCAGCCCTCACTGCTTCCTTAACTTCCAGTGTGCAATCACCATGGAAGCACTGTGTCAGCCCTCACTGCTTCCTTAACTTCCAGTGTGCAATCACCATGGGAACACTGCATCAGCCCCCACTGCTTCCTTAACTTCCTGTGTGCAATCACCATAGAAACACTGCGTTAGCCCTCACTGCTTCCTTAACTTCCAGCGTGCAATCACCATGGAAACACTGTCAGCCCTCACTGCTTCCTTAACTTCCAGTGTGCAATCATGGAAACACTGCGTCAGCTCCCACTGCTTCCTTAACTTCCAGTGTGCAATCACCATGGAAACACTGCCAGCCCTCACTGCTTCCTTAACTTCCAGTGTGCAATCACCATGGAAACACTGCGTCAGCCCCCACTGCTTCCTTAACTTCCTGTGTGCAATCATCATGGAAACAATGCGTCAGCCCCCACTGCTTCCTTAACACACAGTTTGCAATCACCATAGAAACACTGCGTCAGCCCCCACTGCTTCCTTAACTTCCAGTGTGCAATCACCATGGAAGCACTGCGTCAGCCCTCACTGCTTCCTTAACTTCCAGTGTGCAATCACCATGGGAACACTGCATCAGCCCCCACTGCTTCCTTAACTTCCTGTGTGCAATCACCATAGAAACACTGCGTCAGCCCTCACTGCTTCCTTAACTTCCAGTGTGCAATCACCATGGGAACACTGCGTCAGCCCCCACTGCTTCCTTTACTTCCTGTGTGCAATCACCATGGAAACAATGCGTCAGCCCCCACTGCTTCCTTAACACACAGTTTGCAATCACCATAGAAACACTGCGTCAGCCCCCACTGCTTCCTTAGCTTCCAGTGTGAAATCACCATGGAAACACTGCGTCAGCCCTCACTCACTGCTTCCTTAACTTCCAGTGTGCAATCACCATGGAAACACTGCGTCAGCCCCCACTGCTTCCTTAACTTCCTGTGTGCAATCACCATGAAAACACTGCATCAGCCTCCAATGCTTCCTTAACTTCCAGTGTGCAATCACCATGGAAACACTGTCAGCCCCCACTGCTTCCTTAACTTCCCTTGTGAAATCATCATGAAAACATTGTGTCAGCCTCCACTGCTTCCTTAACTTCCATAGAAACATAGAAACATAGAATGTGACGGCAGATAAGAACCATTCGGCCCATCTAGTCTGCCCAATTTTCTAAAAACTTTCATTAGTCCCTAGCCTTATCTTATAGTTAGGATAGCCTTATGCCTATCCCATGCATGCTTAAACTCCTTTACTGTGTTAACCTCTACCACTTCAGCTGGAAGGCTATTCCATGCATCCACTACCCTCTCAGTAAAGTAATACTTCCTGATATTATTTTTTAAACCTTTGTCCCTCTAATTTAAGACTATGTCCTCTTGTTGTGGTAGTTTTTCTTCTTTTAAATATAGTCTCCTCCTTTACTGTGTTGATTCCTTTATATATTTAAATGTTTCTATCATATCCCCCCTGTCTCGTCTTTCCTCCAAGCTATACATGTTAAGATCCTTTAACCTTTCCTGGTAAGTTTTATCCCGCAATCCATGAACCAGTTTAGTAGCCCTTCTCTGAACCCTCTCTAAGGTATCAATATCCTTCTGAAGATACGGTCTCCAGTACTGTGTACAATACTCCAAGTGAGGTCTCACCAGTGTTCTGTACAATGGCATGAGCACTTCCCTCTTTCTACTGCTAATACCTCTCCCTATACAACCAAGCATTCTGCTAGCATTTCCTGCTGCTCTATTACATTGTCTGCCTACCTTTAAGTCATCAGAAATAATCACCCCTAAATCCCTTTCCTCATATGTTGAGGTTAGGACTCTATCAAATATTCTGTACTCTGCCCTTGGGTTTTTACGTCCAAGATGCATTATCTTGCACTTATCCACATTAAATGTCAGTTGCCACAATTCTGACCATTTTTCTAGTTTACCTAAATCATTTGTCATTTGGCTTATCCTCCTGGAACATCAACCCTGTTACATATCTTAGTATCATCAGCAAAAAGACATACCTTACCATCAAGACCTTCTGCAATATCACTAATAAAAATATTAAAGAGAATGGGTCCAAGTACAGATCCCTGAGGTACCCCACTGGTGACAAGTCCAAGCTTCGAATATATTCCATTAACTACAACCCTCTGTTGCCTGTCACTCAGCCACTGCCTTACCCATTCAACAATATTGGAATCCAAACTTAAAGATTGCCGTTTATTGATAAGCCTTCTATGTGCAACAGTGTCAAAAGCCTTACTGAAATCTGGGTAAGCAATGTCTACTGCACCACCTGATCTATAATTTTAGTTACCCAATCAAAACAATCAATAAGATAGAAACATAGAAACATAGAAACATAGAATGTGGTGACAGATAAGAACCATTCGGCCCATCTAGTCTATTTTTTCTAAATACTTTCATTAGTCCCTAACCTTATCTTATAGTTAGGATAGCCTTATGCCTATCCCACGCATGCTTAAACTCCTTTACTGTGTTAACCTTTACCACTTCAGCTGGAAGGCTATTCCATGCATCCACTACCCTCTCAGTAGAGTAATACTTCCTGATATTATTTTTAAACCTTTGCCCCTCTAATTTAAGACTATGTCCTCTTGTTGTGGTAGTTTTTCTTCTTTTAAATATAGTCTCCTCCTTTACTGTGTTGATTCCCTTTATATATTTAAATGTTTCTATCATATCCCCCCTGTCTCGTCTTGCCTCCAAGCTATACATGTTAAGATCCTTTAACCTTTCCTGGTAAGTTTTATCCCGCAATCCATGAACCAGTTTAGTAGCCCTTCTCTGAACCCTCTCTAAGGTATCAATACGGTCTCCAGTACTGTGTACAATACTCCAAGTGAGGTCTCACCAGTGTTCTGCCAATATAATGGCATAGGCACTTCCCTCTTTCTACTGCCATGCCTCTCCCTATACAACCAGAAGCATTCTGCTAGCATTTCCTGCTGCTCTATTACATTGTCTGCCTACCTTTAAAGTCATCGAGGAAATAATCACCCCTAAATCCCTTTCTTCATATGTTGAGGTTAGGACTCTATCAAATATTCTGTACTCTGCCCTTGGGTTTTTACGTCCAAGATGCATTATCTTGCACTTATCCACATTAAATGTCAGTTGACACAATTCTGACCATTTTTCTAGCTTACCTAAATCATTTGTCATTTCACTTATCCCTCCTGGAACATCAATTCTTTTACATATCTTAGTATCATCAGCAAAAAGACATACCTTACCATCAAGACCTCCTGCAATATCACTAATAAAAAATATTAAAGAGAATGGGTCCAAGTACAGATCCCTGAGGTACCCCACTGGTGACAAGTCCAAACTTTGAATATATTCCATTAACTACAACTCTCTGTTGCTGTCGCTCAGCCACTGTCTTACCCATTCAAAGCAATATTGGAATCAACTTAAAGATTGCAGTTTATTGATAAACGTCTTCTATGTGCAACAGTGTCAAAAGCCTTACTAGCAAATCTAGGTAAGCAATGTCTACCACCCTGATCTATAATTTTGGATTTACCCAATCAAGTCAATAAGATTAGTTTGGCATGATCTCCCTGAAGTAACCCCATGTTGTCTCTGATCTTGAAATCCATGTGTTTTTAGATGTTCACAATCCTATCCTTTAACATGGTTTCCATCACTTTCCCCACTACTGAAGTAAGGCTTACTGGCTTATAGTTGCCTGACTCCTCCCTATTACCTTTTTTGTAAATGGGCACAACATTCGATAACTTCCAATCTTCTGGGATTACTCCTGTTAGCAATGATTGGTTAAATAAATCTGTTAATGTTTTTGCTAGTACACCACTAAGCTCTTTTAATAGCTTTGGGTGTATTCCATCAGGTCCCATTGACTTATTTGTCTTTACTTTTGACAGTTGAAATAGAACCTTTTCCTCTGTAAACTCACGTGTAATAAATGACTCATTTATCCTTTTCTCAACTGAGGTCCCTTTCCTTCATTTTCATCTGTAAATACAGAACAAAAATATTCATTGAGGCAGTCAGCCTGGCCTTTATCCTCTTCTACATACCTTCCTTCTTTTGTTTTTAATCTAACTAATCCTTGTTTTACTTTTCTTTTCTCATTTATGTATCTAAAAAATGTTTTATCCCTTTTTTACTGACTGTGCTATTTTCTCTTCTTATTGTGTGTGATTTGGAAGCTCTTATAACTTGCTTAGCCTCTTTCTGCCTAATCTTATAGATCATTTTGTCTCCCTCACTCTGGGTTTTTTTATAATTCCTAAATGCTAACTTTTTGTTTTTAACTATTTTGGCCACATCTGCGGAGTACCACAGTGGTTTCTTGAATTTTTGCTTTTACTGACCAGCCTAATGCAATTTTCTGTTGCCTTCAATAGAGCAACTTTTAAATAATCCCATTTTTCTTGGACTCCATTTAAATTGCTCCAGTCTGATAATGACTCCTCTACCCATATTCTAATTTTAGAAAAGTCTGTTTTTCTAAAGTCTAAAACTTTTGTTTTGTGTGGTGTGACTCAGTCACTGTTCTTATATTAAACCACACTGACTCATGATCACTGGATCCTAAACTTTCACCTACAGTAACATCTGATACTAAATCTCCATTTGTTAACACTAAATCTAGTATGGCCTCTTTACGAGTTGGCTCCTCAACAACTTGTTTAAGAGACAATCCCAGTAGGGAGTTTAGAATATGTGTGCTCCTGGCACAAGTAGCTAATTTTGTTTTCCAATTTACATCAGGAAGATTAAAGTCACCCTTGATGATAACTTCCCCCTTCATTGTCATTTTAGCTATTTCCTCAACTAGTAGATAATCTAACTCTTCAATTTGTCCTGGGGGCCTATAAATCACACCTACACGAGTTACTGTGTGATTACCAAATTCTAACGTAGCCCAAACGGACTCTATGTTTGCCTCACTAACTTTTATTAGGCTAGATTTTATGCTATCCTTCACATACAGGGCCACCCCTCCCCTTTCTTGCCTTCCCTGTCTTTTCTATATAAAGAGTACCCTGGTATTGCTATGTCCCAGTCATTTTTCTCATTATACCATGTCTCAGTAACAGCGACTAAATCTACACTATCAGTTGCCATTATTGCCACAAGTTCATGGATCTTATTCCCTAAACTGTGAGCATTTGTAGACATGACTCTAAGCTTATCATTTTTTTAACACACTTGCTACAGGCACCTTCTGTCCTTGTTTTGGGGGACAATTGGATTGATGTTTTATCACCCTTTTGCCCCCCCCTCCTAGTTTAAATACATCCTAGCAAAACCTCTGAACTGCTCACTGAGAACAATTGTTCCCTTTTGAGAAAGATGCAAACCATCTTTTTTGTACAGCTTATCTCCATTCCAAACAGAGCTACCATGAGAAATAAAGCCAAATCCTTGCTCCCGACACCATTCACCAAGCCACAAGTTAAAGTCCCTAATACGCATCCGCCTGTCGTTCTGAGTGTTATTAGTTTGTGATTAGTTTGGCATGATCTCCCTGAAGTAAACCCATGTTGTCTCTGATCTTGAAATCCATGTGTTTTTAGATGTTCATCAATCCTATCCTTTAACATGGTTTCCATCACTTTCCCCACTACTGAAGTAAGGCTTACTGGCCTATAGTTGCCCGACTCCTCCCTATTACCTTTCTTGTAAATGGGCACAACATTCGCTGTGTTAAGGGTGCAGGGTGGGGTGCGCTGATGGTCCAGTGGTGGCGAGTTGTCTAAAACCTGCAGTTCCCATGGCTGCAGGCTGTCTTCACTCCTCCCGCATGCAGAATACTGTGTCGGAGTATTGCCATGGTAACACGCGGCAATGCTCCACACAGCATGCTCGCGAGAGGAGCGTTCTGCCTCCCAGGTCCTCCAGCCCTCCCTGTCACTAACAAAGGGCATTTGGACTGGTGAAGGAGATCTTTGATCTCCTCACCGGCCCAAGAGGGCCAACAGCAAGAAAGCAGGTCTCCTCTGGCAGCCTGGGCTCTGAAACACACACAAACAACCTCACTACAGAGAAGCTCACTGACAGACACACACCCAAGGCTGAGTATATCAAGGCTGTTGCTGGGAGGTCAGGTAGCCATCTTGGGCCTCTTCCAACTGCAGCAAGGTCTGCTGCTTAATGGTGGGGGCAGAGCTTGGGATGGGAGGCATGGGTGGAGCTTGCATTGTATGTGCGGGGCCTGTGTGTGCGAGGTGGAGCATTAGTCTGTGTGCAGGAGAAGCTGCTGGGAATTCGGAAGGGCTCCCTCCCACCCCCAGCAGCCTCAATGCAGCCTCCAACACCTCTCTACAGCCCTCAGCACCTCTGTCCGGAAATAATAAAAGCACTGGCTCTACAAGTTGCCGGAATTGCCCGGGACAGACTCCAGCTTGCCGGGACTGTTTTGGCAAAAACAGGATAGTTGGCAGCTAAGCCGGCAGAAGTAACCATTTAAAATTCGTATTATAATTTCCTACATATGTGTGTTTCTGCAAGCTATATTAATAATACTGTGGTGTATTCACAAAAATGGGATTTGTGAAGGCTAAACTGGAAATATCTTCTAACTTTTCTGTTCCTTTGTCAATACCGGCAATTCGGTTTTGGTGAGTAACTATAAAGGGCCTCTATAGGTAACAAAACAACTTTAGCTTAATGAAGCAGTTTTAATGTGTAGATCATGCTCCTGCTGTATCATTGTTCAATTCTCTGCCATTCAGGCATTAAATCACTTTGTTTATCTGCCCTAGTCACACCTCATTGCATGTGGCTTGCACAGCTTCCTAAACACTTTCTGTAAAGAGAGATCTGTTTAAAGTTTATTGAACATTCTGTTTAATTTCGAATTTTGTATCTCCTGCTCTGTTAACAGCCTTCTAAACGCTGAAGGAGACGCATCAGTGTGGTTAAAGGGATACTCTACTGCCCCCCAAAAACATTTTTTAAACAAATCACTATTTCGTACATATACTCACAACAAAAATATGTATGCATTTATTTAAGCATTCTTTTACTGGGTGTGTATCTAAAAAAGAAATTTGCAAAAGCTGCAGATCCCTTGTCTGCTGACATTGTAAGCTTTCACCTTCTAACCCAGCACAGTCTTTTTGTGGTTGTTCAATCATAGACTTCCCAATGCAACTCAATGAGAAGTCTTTGCAAGGCAGGTGCTCTGGGTAATTACTGCCTCTCACGTTTAGCTACTATGCTATCCAAACCAGTAAGTACAAGGACTTGTTGTCTGTTTGAGGCCAGGGTTGCATAACAAGTCTAATTTATAAAAGTGCCAATTCCTATTGAAATCTTTTTGTAAAATGAAGAGAACACAGTTTTCACACACAAAGCACTTGAGCAAGTTAAAGTGCTTTAAAGGGACACTATAGTCACTAGAACAACTACATCTCAAAGGGGTTCTAGAGTGCCAGGAATGAGTAGTTGCTGATTGGCTGAGATCATCAATTATGGTGATCTCAGCCAAGGTGATGGATCAGGGCCAGAGTGAGTGACGGCAGACACGCATGGTGCTGGAAATAAGGTGAGTTTTACAGCTTTTTAAGTGGGGCAAGGGGAGGGGTGGTGGCCACCTACATAGTATTTTTAACACTATAGGGTCAGGAATACACATTTATATTCCTAACCCTATAGTGTTCCTTTAAAGTTGAGTTTACAGAGCAGGAAATAACTTCCAAAGCAAGCTAACATAAGACTGAAAATTAAACCATTTCTTTCATGCAGGCCGTGTGGCTTGGAACAAAAACAAAAATGATTTAACTCCAAAATGGCAGAGAATTGAGCAATAGTGATGTCCCGAACGGTTCACCGAGGACGGCGAGCATAAACATAAACTTTGACCCTGTACCTCACAGTCAGCAGACACATTCCAGCCAATCAGCAGCAGACCCTCCCTCCCACCTCCTGGACAGCTCACTAAGAATGCAGCTTCACAATGAATGTAAAATGGATGCTGTCCAGGAGGTGGGAGGGTCTGGGAGGGAGTGTCTGCTGCTGATTGGCTGGAATGTGTCTGCTGACTGTGAGGTACAGGGTCAAAGTTTATGTTTATGTTCGCCGTCCGTGGCGAACCGTTCGGGACATCACTATTGAGAAATGATACAGTAGGGTCATGATCTATACACCAATATGGCTTCATTAAACTAAAGCTGTTTTTGTGCTTAGAGTATCCGTTTAACTGACCGCTTTATCCACGGAATTGTATGAAATATATTTACGAAAATATTCACTAGAGTGAGAACTCAACGTGAATTCAGAGAGCCTCTCAAATGTAAGGTCAAAATGGAAAAATTATCTTAGGCGACTATGCTTTTAGTTCGCTTAATCTGGCCTTAAATTTGAAAATCACTTTGAATTAGTGGTGTGAAAGCTCCTATTATAAACTCATAAAATATATATATATATATATACGAATAAAGTATTAAATATAACTAATGTATAAAAACATAGATACAATTAAACTCCTAAAAGACAATATATTACTGTATGAATTAAATACAGATCTGCATAAAGCCTATCTGACTAAAATGCAGTGAACAACCAAAGTCCCACGGATAAGTATCTCAAAGTCTATGCCTCATGTACAATTTTTACTGCAGTATTTACAGTTGCAGGGTTAATGGTAGTGGGAGATGGCACCCAGACCACTCCAATGGGCAGAAGTGGTCTGGGTGCCTGGAGTGTCCCTTTAATACAGTGTGGAGCTTGTATCTGTGTTTGCTATTCGTGTTTAGATGCAATCCTCTACCCTTTTCTGTTACAGCTCTACATTAGTTACATTGTGACTTTAGTTGTTATTCATGGCATTATAGACACATAGGCTTTAAAGGACCACTATAGGCACCCAGACCACTTCAGCTCAATGAAGTGGTCTGGGTGCCAGGTCAATCTAGGATTAACCCTGCCTGCTGGGTGCCAGATCAATCTAGGATTAACCCTGCCTGCCTGCTATGGGTTAAGCCAGCCTCTAGTGGCTGTCTCATTTACAGCCGCTAGAGGCGCTTCCGCGATACTCACTGTGATTTTTCACAGTGAGAAGACGCCAGCGTCCATAGCAATGCATTGAGAATGCTTTCCTATGGACTGGCTGAATGCGCACGCGGCTCATGCCGCGCATGTCCTTTCAATCGATGACGGGGAAAGGAGACAAAGAGACCCCACCGCCAAGGGAGTCCGGCGATGCAGAAAGGTATGTGCTTAACCCCTTCCTCACCCTAGAGCCTTGCAGGAGGGGGACCCAGAGGGTGAGGGGGACCCAAGGACCCTATAGAGCCAGGAAAACGAGTATGTCCTTTAACTATACCTTGATCGACCACTCACTTGGCTTTATAAATGGCAATAATAATAATACATCACTTTGAATTCTCACTTTAGTGAATAAACCCTGGGAATTGAATTAAACTTTAGACAAAAATAGCCAAGTTGGAAACACAGCTGCCCAATTCAGCTATTTTAGTGTAAGTGTGAAAGGCTGATAATGTAATAATCCAGTAACCCACTCAGTTTATTAGTTCTCCCTGTGAAGTCAATACACCATTAATAGCTTAGACTGGGGCTGCCAGGAAGCCGCACTACATTGTGGCAGCGGCGGATGTATACACGCTGTGTGTCACGTTGACGTGCCGCGTCACTGGCCGGCTCCCTGCCTTCGCTCGTCGTTGCAGATACGTTCTCCCGGACAGCAATGGCGGCCGTGCCTCACCTCCCCGCTCCCGGCGCTGCGGCCCGCCCGGCCCACGGCATCCTGATCGGGGACCGGCTGTACTCCGAGGTCTACCTCACCATCGACAACTCCCTGATCCCCGAGGAGCGGCTCTCCCCCACCCCCTCCATGCTGGACGGCCTGGACCTGCAGGCGGAGACCGACCTGCGCATCCTGGGCTGTGAGCTCATCCAGTCCGCCGGGATCTTACTCCGCATGCCGCAGGTAACCGCACCGTGACCGCACCACCCCCGCACACTGACCGCACCACACACTGACCGCACCACCCCGCACACTGACCGCACTGTGACTGCACCCCCGCACTGACTGCACCACCCCCGCACACTGACCGCACCGTGACCGCCGCACCACCCCCCGCACACTGACCGCACCACCCCCCGCAGTCACACACCGAGAGCGGCCGAGGCCTACTGCCAGCTACAAGCGGAGGGGGGCGCACAAAATGGCGGCCAGCCCTCCTAGCGCCATGCTGGACTCAGTGAGAGCTCCATTTACCCGGCCCTCCTAGCTCCATGCCGGACTCGGTGAGCTCCATTTACCCGGCCCTCCTAGCTCCATGCCGGACTCGGTGAGCTCCATTTACCCGGCCCTCCTAGCTTCATGCTGGACTCAGTGAGAGCTCCATTTACCCGGCCCTCCTAGCTTCATGCTGGACTCAGTGAGCTCCATTTACCCGGCCCTCCTAGCTTCATGCTGGACTCAGTGAGAGCTCCATTTACCCGGCCCTCCTAGCTCCATGCTGGACTCCGTGAGAGCTCCATTTACCCGGCCCTCCTAGCTCCATGCTGGACTCGGTGAGCTCCATTTACCCAGTCCTCCTAGCTTCATGCTGGACTCGGTGAGCTCCATTTACCCGGCCCGCCTAGCTCCATGCTGGACTCAGTGAGCTCCATTTACCCGGCCCTCCTAACTCCATGCTGGACTCAGTGAGAGCTCCATTTACCCGGCCCTCCTAGCTCCATGCTGGACTCCGTGAGAGCTCCATTTACCCAGTCCTCCTAGCTTCATGCTGGACTCGGTGATTTTTTTTTTTTTTTTTTTTATATAACCATTGTGGCCCAGGCTAACTAGGTGCTCAACCGGTTTATGCAGACTACTTACTCCATGACCACTCACAGGTTTATTCTTTAAAGTGGGAATTCACTTCCAATACTGATTATTCACACTTTAGTGAATAACCTTGGCAGTGCCAAAACACTTGCTGTCATCCTTGGTCGGCCCACTGCACAGCTCGCTGCTTTCTCAACGAAGTGCCTTATTGTGTTTTCTCTGTAGGTGGCCATGGCGACTGGACAGGTGTTGTTCCACCGGTTCTTCTACTCCAAATCCTTTGTTAAACACCATTTTGAGGTAAAGACATTTCACAAGTTTAATATTTAAATTACAAGGCTCTATAATGTTATTGGGAAAGGGTCAGCTAGTATCTGACGGGTTAAAGGAACACTACAGACACATGCACTTAAGCTCTTTTTAATTTTTTTTTTTATAAATGACATTCTATAAAAGTGTTGATTTCAATAGAAAGCTGCACTTTTATACCTGGGATGGAAACAACTCCCTGGCTTTTTACAAAGACTGTATGTCTGCAACTTTTGCATATATCATAGTCCTAAATTAAAATTCCTAATATGTGGGAATTTAATTCATTTTTTGTCAGACAATTTTTCAAGGTGTGAAATGTGATTTTAAAGCTAAACCTTTTTAAAATTAGATCTGTAACTTTAAAAGCAGTCATGGCATCCAAAACATTACAAGGCCTAGTAGACTTACCAGGGTATTTAATTAGGAGTAATTTTCAGGTCAAATTACAGCCATGACAATTTCACTTTTCAAATTTCCGCTGGTTGGTTTTACTTGCCTCTCAGCCCTTGACGCTCTTCCTCCCTGGCTGTGATCATCAAGATTGATATCTCAACCAATCAAATGCGTCATTTCTCATACCAGTGAAAGGACCAGTATTTGAATAAGAACAGAGTCTGACTGTTATCACAGGAAAGCACCTCTAGTGGATTTCAGGAAGACAGCTAGTAGAGATGTGTTTAACACTGCAGTGGAAACATTGCAATTTCTACAGAAGTTAAAACTATAGGGCCACTGACCTCACAACACTTCATTGAGTTGAAGTAGTCTGGCTGCCTTAATGGTCCTTTTTGATTAAGTATCATAATACATTAAAATATAACAAATGAGTCATCCGCAGCAAGTTATTTCTTATAATTGCAATAAATTTTCTTAACCGTTGATTGGATGAAATTGGCACATTCATCAAACTGACTTCTTTTCAGATTGTTGCCATGGCTTGTATCAATCTCGCTTCAAAAATTGAAGAAGCCCCAAGGCGAATTAGAGATGTGATAAATGTTTTTCATCATTTACGTCAAATAAGAGCAAAAAGGTATGTTTCTCGACTGTATAGTAATGTTAGCATTTGTCTGCTTGATAATTCGATGAGTGCCCAACTTTCGTTGTCTGTGAAAAGATAATCATGAAGATTAACACATTTCAATCCCCATTTGAAGTGGCTTTTGTTGTTTTTTTTGTTTTTTGTTTTTTTTTCAGAATTTAGGTTCTGTTTAAGTTAAATATTATTTTGGACCACTGAAGCCTTTCTGCCAGTTTGATGCATATGTGTGCTATGCAAAAGCAGAATTCTTAGAACTCAAGAGACAACAAAATAGTTTTGGGCATCACTTTTTCACCCTTCAAAATTTTTGCATTTTGTGAATTTTAGTGTTGTTTAACAAAACCTTTTAATTCATATGAATATTTTGCTTAACTTTTCATTTAAGGTCTTGTGTTGGAATACTGTTTTCAACACTTGCCTATGTATGGGACCAAGCCTTATAAACACAGAATCCCTAAGTCACAAGTCAGCATGACACAGGTTTGATATTGTAATAGTTTGTTAATAAGACATAAAGGACCTTTTAAAACCTTAAAATTCAATGTGCCTTCTTAAAAATCTTTTCTTAAGGGCATGTTAAAACCTAATCCTGCAGAACACAAGCAGACAAGTTTTTAGATGTTGCAGTATGTAAATTCGCAGTGCCATAAATCTGCAAAATGTTGCTAAAACCAGATTATATATACATTAACATACATCCAAACATTGCACTGACTTTTTTTTTTTTTTTTTCCTTAATCTGTTTTAACAAATTATGAAGTAAATTGATTACTTTTAATTGGCATTAGCATTAGACTTATTTCTCCCAGTTTATGGCAGTTTCCTTACGAAGTGCTTTTTCAAGTTTTGCCAGACTATCATGTCCTGATATGTTGTATCCAGATTTTATTTACCATGTAGAAAGCTATTTATCAATTACTTTTTATATAGTATTTAATCTGTTTACATGGAAAATAAACAGTTCCAGCTCCTTTTCTTCATGTGCTAAGGATTCTGCAATCAATTATTCACATATTTACCCTGATCATTTGAATAATATTCACTTATGCAGAGTTGTGATATATTTATTTTTCCAGTTAATTCTATTTACTTGATATAGGCCACTAAAATATCAAAACACATTCAGGAGGATGTGTGGTTTAGCTGTAAATATTCTTGAAGTGGGTAGAATGCTTGCATTAGGAGCCCTTCTTAAATGTTACATTTGGTAATATGTATGAGAAATGGGAGTTCTTGAGGTGTTAGCGTCTCCCTGCTATTAAACAGCTGCTGTTCACTAATCTTGATTCAGTTTTATACTTTCAAAAGAATGCCAGTTCAAAACAGCAAACCCCTTATATTGAGTTACAGGGGGTGTGCATGCTTTCTGTTAGAATTAGTGCACTTGGCAGGGATTAAAAGGTACAGTAAGTTCAGTTGAACAATGTGCTCAGTGTTGAGTACATAATATAACTTAATGACTGTGCACTAAAGTTTGATATAAAATTCTCCTGGTTTATTTTTATTTTTTTGTAAATTTGGAATATTGGGTGAGAACCATTTAGGTACATTTTTAATTTTTAGGTTGACTTTTATATATATCTTTTATTTTTTCAACAATGTGTAGATATTGCTATACCTTCAGTCCATAGGGAGGTTCTGATAGACTTTCCGTTTTTAGTGTATTCTGCTTTTGCTTCAGTTTGCTTTACAATTAATGTTGCTATTTTGGTGAAATCAAACCAACTTTGTTTGCAGAATCAATTTTATGTAATTTGGGCTTACACTGTTCAGTAATTTATTAGATTATATTTCTAATTTAAGTATCCAAATGCACACAATATTGGTAATTATCAATACACAGGGCAACTCGTATGTAGCACTAATCTTCATTGCTTTGCTTTTTAGTTGGGTTATCTTTACATTTAACTACATAATTATTTTACTATAAACCTATATTTGTTTAGGGTTTTTTTTTTTTTTTCTACCAAAAGCACTCTTCGACTGGTGTGATAATGGTTATGACATGTAAAACAAGCAGAACGAATTCGTGTTACATTCATGTGCTGACTACATTTATTGACTTTAAATTTTTTTCCCTTGCAACTGACTTATACAGCGACCAGCTACATTTACCAATGCCTGGGTGATGTGGAGTGGTACATAGAGATGAAGCTGTCGTCTTGGCAACAGTGAGTGAAGTTTCGAAAATCCCCAAGGAGAAGCCAGTGCTCTGAGAATAGGTCACTGGAATCGGGGACTCACAGGTTGGCCATTGGTGAACCATTTGGACATGACTCCTGTATCATGTTAAGAATTCTTGTCTTTGCTGTCCAAGTTTATTTTAACTTATTTCAGTGTTATAATTGGCTGTACTATGCTCACACGTTAGTGGAACTTAAACCAAGCAGTTAAAGCCTTGCCATGTACTGATATGAAATGGATCTCAAAGACCAGCTTAAACAGAAGATAAAATATTAATAGGGAGATTTTTTTTTTTTTAAATTTGCAGTGATTTAAACATTGAGAAGTCCACACCATTCTTATTCTCCGTTAAGTTTTTTTTGTTTTTAAAGTTAAAGGGACTCTCCAGTGCCAGGAAAACATCAGTTTTCCTGGCACTGCGGTGCCTCTTTCTCTCCCACCCCATGTTGCTGAAGGGGTAAACCTTTGTGCTGGGTCAGGCTCCGCCCACACTCCTTCCCTGCCGTCAGCCAGCGGGGGAGACCCAATGTGCATGCGCGGCAATGGCTGCGCGCATTAGACCTCCCATTATTATTCAGTGCTTTCCTATGTGGATTCCGTTGATGCTGAAGATCCTCATGCATAGCGTGAGGGCGTCCAGCGTCGTTTAAAACATTTTTCATTTTCTAAGAACACGGAAGTCCCTCTAGTGGCTGTCTGATATCAGAGGAGGACTTAACCCTGCAAGGTAATTATTGCAGTTTATAAAAACTGCAATAATTACACTTGCAGGGTTAAGTGTGATGGGAGTTGGCACCCAGACCACTCCAATGGGCAGAAGTGGTCTGGGTGTCTGGAGTGTCCCTCTAAGGAGGTTACATGAAATAGCACATTTTTAACTTATTTTTCCAGCATCTGGGAACCTAATGTTCACCATACTAAGTAACCCCTTTTTATACAAATACTGTATTTCCCTAAATTATGCAATTTTGGTGTATGAACCTACATATTTAAGGTAGAGTGGGAGTTATTAAACTTTACTTACTCTTTCAGTTCACTACATTTCTTCCACATCCAGGGTGTTTTTTGGTTTTGTTTTGTTTTGTTTGTTTTTTTTGCCAGTCACAACTGACTCCTGTAATGCCCCAACCCACCTGGTCACAAACCAGACAAACCTGTTTGGTAAAATTCCTAAAGTAATAATAGACCAACTCTCAGGGGAGCTATTTAAAGTCTGAATCCAGTTTGTATTTTAAAGGGAGACGATAGTCATCATAACAACTACAGCTTAATGTAGTTGTTCTGGTGAGTATTATGGCTCTCTTCGGGCATTTTCATGTAAACACTGCCTTTTCAGAGAAAAAGCAGTGTTTACATTGCTCCTAGGGACACCTCCAAGTGGCCACTCCTTAGGTGGCCACTGGAGGGGCTTTCTGGCTCAGGGCTGCACAGTAAGCAGCTCTGCCGTTCAGCGTCCCCACGCTCTGCATGGAGACACTGAATTTTTCTCATAGAGATGTATTGATTCAATGCATCTCTATGAGGAGGTCCTGATTGGCCAAAAATGGAAAAGCATCGGATTGGCAAAAAATCTGCCATTTTGATGTCACAAAGCGGGTGCCTATAAAAGTTTAAAACTCACCTTATTTCAAGCGCTGCGCGGGTCTTCTGGCATGGGAAGACCCGTGCAGCGCTTGAAATAAGGTGAGTATTAAACTTTTATAGGGGGCTGAGGTGGAGCAGGCCACCTAAATGGTGGGTTTAGCACTATAGGGTCTGGAATACATGTTTGTGTTCCTGACCCTCTAGTGATCTTTTAAACTGAAGTAAAATGCCCAACACGGGAACCTGAAAATGTATTTAATTTGATAATTTGCTTAGCAGATACAGGCTAATTTTCATGTGAGGCACCCTGGGTTTGGCTGTCCAACCATTGCCTGCAATATACCCTATCTAAATAATTGATTTGATCTGCAAATAAGGGGATCATATCGGTGCATTCCAGGAAGCACATTACAACATAAAATGTGGTTTTGGTGTTTGTGTCCCCCTTCAACCTATTGTATATTTCAAGAGTTTTGATGAAATTGTCAAAGCTTAGTTACCTCTTCCTCTTACAAATTCTTAAACATTATGTTCAAATGCAATACAACTCTCATCAGCTTGTATAGACTTTCTCTGAGCTTTGCAACAAAGTGTGTAAGCCTAATTCATGAATAACGTTGACTTGCACACAGTTTCAGTAATTTTTCATGATCAAAATATCGAGTTGGTGAAAAGCATGATACCTGAACTGCATATCAGCAAGTCTTTATTAGATCTGTAAAGTGCTCTCATTGAATGCAAAGGTAGTATAAGGATTGGCTGTGAGGTGACCAGTCACTTCACATACCGTGGTGTCGCCGCCAGCAGAGGAAATTATTATTTATTTATTTTTTAATTTTAATTTTTTTTATATCTTTTGGGAGAATTCCAGTTTTGGATAAAACTAAATAGACTTCTTAGGACATAGATGAATGACATTCATATCAAAGAGCCCACAAGGTGCCAAACTGTCCAGACCACTGTTCTATATAAAATAAATATTTCACATCATTTAGGGAGCAAAATGTTTGGTATCACTGCTATAGGGTCTATTTAGCAATCTGTAAGTGCCATAGATAGAACATTTAATCTAAATATAGAGAACAGTGTATGCTATTGACTTAAGTGTTAAAATACCATACAAACATGAACTTATTGGATGGATGGTTTCTTATTAACACATATTTTTATATAAATTGATATTTTAGCTCTCTTCATGAATAGCTTTGGTTCTTCTGAGTGACTGGTGGCTTGTCTGTGCAATCAATTAACCCACCTTTCTGGTTAGTCACACGTGAAGGTTTAACATCAAGGCAGAAAGTGATTTAATTTGGAGGTGACCCAGATATTTATTTTTCTGTTCATGTATGAATTTTAAACAAATTAGACTTCTATGTTCAAATGACTGAAACACGAAATAGAGCAAAGATTACATATGGCTGCATTCTTATGTTTATGTACCCTAATTAATTTAAATAACAGGTTTTTCTAAACACTGTTTTTACCTTGTATAGAACATAAAATAAATCCTTTAACTGTAAACTATGAGGCTGTTAGCTGCAGAAAACACTAGTTCCATATTCTCGAGAAGTTGATGCAAATGCATATCTGTAGAATTTTCTGGAATGTTTTCTTCTGCAGCTGCATTTTTAAGCCCTGGCAATCAAGCCACGGTTGTTTAATATTATTTAATTATGTTATTGAAGAAGGGGGGCGGGGGGGGGAGAAAGCAAATATTTTGCTTTTCATTCCAGTGTCAAGTCTGGGAAAACAATAAGGATGTGTGTCTCATTCCTAATTCGCTATGGTTTCTATGTGATATCAAGAAGAGCAGGCAGAGGTAAGTGTAGTGTTTCTAATTAAAACAAATACAGTAAATCACACCAAGTTTAGTGAATAAACAGGAACGGAAAATTGAGCTGCAAAATTTAGGCATCAATGTTTGACTTGGAAAAATTCTCAAACATAGCTTTAACAGCTTGGCAATTTTACCTTGAATTTTGCAGTTTGTTTTTTTGTTTGCCATTAATTCTGAATTAACACTTAGTGTAAGAGTGTGGTATTTGCTTGTATACAATAGAGGACATGTATACAGTTTGTAGACTGCTAGGGTGTAACATAAATGTAGATAGTTGTACACAATTTTAATATACACTCTACTAACAGGAGCTTGTTTCATGTTGCAAACCTGATAGATTAAACCATGTTCTAGATTCTTAGATTTGAGGTTCTGTTACTTCACACATGCCTTCCTCCTATTTTCTTTTTCTTTCAGATTCTGATCTTCTCTTCTACATTTCTGTTCAATTTCTATTTAAGATGGGGGTTATTTTGTCTTGTGTATTTTTCCTTTACTTGAAAAATCTTGGCAAAGGAAAAATACTTACTTTTGTCTTATATTTTAAAGAGAAATAAATCAGAATTAAAGAACAGATTCTGAAATGGGAAGAGAAAATGAAACAGGAGAGGGGCAATTTTGAGGTGACAGCCACTTAAGTAGCCACATTTGGTTGCGGTTAGCCATTTGATATTTGAAGACTACATGTAAGATATATATATATATATATCTCTATCTCTCTATCTCTCTATTATTTTTTTATTTATTTTTTATTTGTGTTCAGGGACAAAAGCCAAGAAAGAGTATGAGAGACACAACTATACTATTCAATAGTTTGTTGTGGTGTCCTGAAACCAAAGTTCAGGTAGGTAAATAAGAGGGCAGAAAGGAACACCATAGGGTTAGGAACACAAGCATGTATTCCTGACCATAGAGTGTTAAAATCCCCTTGCCCCCTTAAATATAATAAACTCTTACCTTTATTCCATTCTTCCGTTGCTGTCTGTGCCTCTGATCTGCCTGTTTAGCCGACATCATCAGAAGTGGTGATCTGAGCAAATCACAGTACTTTTCCATAGGAAAGTATTAATTGGCTCAGATTATTAAGGAGGCAGAGCAAGCACAAACAAAACAGCCCTGGTCAATCAGCATCTTCTTAGAAATTAATTGAATCAATGCATCTCTATGAGTAGAGTTCAGTGTCTCCATGCAGAGGGAGGAGACACTGAGTGTGCAGCACTGCCCCAGGAAGCACCTCTAGTAGCCATCAGAGTAGTGGCCAATGGAGATGTCCCTAGGCTGTAATGTAAACATTGCCTTTTCTCTGAAAACCGTGTTTACTGCCAAAACCCTGAAGGGAATGAGTATACTCACCAGGACAAATACAATAAGCTATAGTTGTTCTGGTGAAGTTTATAGTATTTCTGTCCATTTAATCATAATGAGCTTAAGTACATAAAATATACACACACACACACGTAACCTTACAAATGTTAGCAGAATTGGAATTCATGTTCCAGAAGTAGAGTATTACCCATTCATTAGTATATTGCATTTTTTTATCCTTTTGCTTTTATCTGTATTAGATTATTGATAGTACAATAAAAATGGTGATTGAGACTTTTCTTTTTTTCCTGTCATCTGCAGACCATTTGGATGATGGAGTTTACATCAGTTAGGTATATGCATTCAATCTACTAGGAACTGTATAGAGTAAGTCCTTAAAGATCAAACGTTACACTTTTAAATCATCACAGGTCCTTAAAGATCTTATGTCCACATGTAATTGTTTGTTTATTCAGTATACGTAGTTATGTACACATTCACCACTTGTTAATCTCATTTGGCAATATGATCCTTGAAGAGATTCTTAATATGGCATAGACGTAGAACCATAATGTCCTTAAGGGTAAGGCAGGGCTCAAAATTCCACCTTGTCGAGTAGAAACTTTTAAGTCATGGCTTGTACTGAAGCAATTTATATATCAAGTCCTTAGTTAAGGTATACTTGAAGCTTACATAACCCTCCTCCCAAATAGCTGCCTAAAATGGACACCGTGGTGTTGATTTCTTGCATCCATAAAAATAACTGCATATTTTGCCATTTACTTGGTATGTGGTTCCTAATAGGACTGTAACTAAAGGTACAGAAAGAAAATAAAACCTTTTTAAATCTAGTTTCTGGGAAATTTTTTGCAATACCAAGTTATATTATGGTATATTTTCAGGGATGTAGTTTTACAGTCTGTATTCAGGAGAATAGCAAAACCATTCTATTGTCATCACTACGGAAAATGTATTCCAGCATTGAAATGGAGTTGAAAGCACATTCTGTGTTAATTGTACTCTTTTTGGTGTAACATTAATTTACATGCAGTCTTATTGTATATTACATTATAGTGTAACATGCTTTATTTTATTTTTTTAAATTCAGTGATGGCTACCCAAGCTAAAAATGTTAAATATCACATTTGTAGAGAGGCATACTGTATGTTAAATGTTTAAGAAATTGCCTGCAATGTCTCCTATAAGTAGTTAATGACATTTATTCAACTCCTAAATATATATAAAATCTTATTGTCTGATGATATTTAGTAATTCACTTGAATTTGTTAAATTGAAGAACATTTTTGATCTCCTGCTTAAACTGTCATTAAAGGAACAGAAATGTGTATTCCTGACTAGTTTAAACGCACTGTTTCGGTACCGGACTCCCTCTCCTTACTTTAAAAAGGTGATTATTCCAGTTTTTTCCAATACTGCAGCTGTCCTCTCCTTTCTCCGCCTATTATCTGAGATTATCACATTTGATGATCTATAGTAACGCATTTGGAGGTAGTTGCAGATGCGCGACAGAAAAAGAACTACCACAAACAAGAGGGTATAGTCTTAAATTAGAGGGGCAAAGGTTTCTGTGCCCGTCAGCATCTCCTCCTAGAGGTTCATTCAATCGGTGCATCTCTATGAGGAGGGTTCAGGGCATGGAGACCCTGTACATCAGTGCTGTACACTGCAGCACTGAACCAGGAAGCACCTCTTGTGGCTGTCTTTGAAAAGGCAGTGTTTACATTAAAAAGCATACCTGTTGATTGTTTTACTTCTAACTTGTTTATCCATGAAAACTCAGTTTGTTTCATTGGGTCTATGAAATGCCATCCAAGATGTCAAGTCTGCTTGTAGGTAGTGTGGAGCAGCTAGAGGTTTACTTATGATCTTCCATAGATTTTATTTCTCTCATGCGCAATGAAAATATATACAAGAGACCAAAAAATTGCACTCCATTAACAAGAGCTTTAATAAGTTATATATTTAGAAAAAACGTTGTGACAATGCCACTGTTTGTAAGTTCACGTGGGTTGCTTACCCCAAGGATTGTGCAGGGCATCAATTTTATGTTAGGACATACATTCAGAGTATTTTAAGTAGCAAATCCTCCTAGTCTTTTTTATTAATCGCTTGAATGGACGAATTTAAACTTAAGTCAACCATGCAATGTAACTCTACAGATTTGGCTTATTATACCATGGATTTCAGTTGTTTAAAGTACCATAAAACATTTTTTGAGGAGCACAATACTACCCATTCCAGTTTTATGGAATCCATATTGACATTTGTAAATCTTAGATGCATTAATCCTGCAATGCGTGTTAAAAGGACACTGTAGGCACCCAGACCACTTCACCTAATTGAAGCAGGCTGTTTGCACTTTGAACTGCAATGTGTACATTGCCGCTCTGTCTGCCCTCTGTGGTTGTCTACTAGAGGGCTTCCAGAATCCAAATGGACCTTTGGTCCGTTATCTTACACTGGACGTCCTCATGGACCTCCAGCGTCAGATTTTCAGCATAGGAAAGCATTGATTTATGCTTTCTTATGGAGAGATCTAATGCGCACGCGGCCATTGTCGCGCATGCACATTGTCTCCCCCGCTGGCTGAAGTCAGTGGGGGAGGGAGGGAGTGTAGGCGGAACCTTACCCTATGCCAAGAGACAATTGCGCTGGATTCAGGGGAGTGGTTAACTCTTTCAGCCCCAAGGGAGGGGGGACATGCCTATTAACCCTATTAACTGGTTTTTTTTCCTGGCACTATAGGATCCCTTTAATCTTTAGGAAGATAGCATGTTTTTATTTTTATAGCAGCAAAACACCTATTTATTTTCCCTATGCTGAACAGCTAGATGTAAATGCAAATAGTTTCAGATTTAATTAAACCTGATTTGTTTAGAAGCTAGAAAGTCTCTCTGAAACCTTTAATATAATCTAAGGGGCCTGTGGTTTGCAAACCTAAGTCAAATATAGTTTACGCACCGTAAGGTGAAGTATGTTTTAATAAACTGTTCTGTAAGTCCTTTCAACTATAATTACAGTTAACATATGATAAAGATTTCTAAGTAAAAAAAAAGGGTAAAAATCGATCACATTTTTATATACATTACATTCACGCTTTTTGTAATTGTGACTAATATATTATTTTATCACATTCTAGTCCTGTTTGATCTACACTCTACAGGGTTCTGTAAAGAAACTCCTAGATATTCTTATTCAGCCACGCATATAACAAAAACAAAACCTGTGCAAACATGTTCATATGTATGCAGAAAAATAACTGCTACCCACAGTTTTAACTCTGTGTTCTGAGCAAGTTTAAAACATGATTGTAAATGGGAACAGGGTGTGATTGATCCCCCAACTTGGGATCCAGACATGGTCCGCTACATAATCAGTCTCTTCTCCTTCCACACCAGGGACCCCAACAGTCTTCCTGGTAGGAACTGAAATTGATCTCTCTGTTCATAGCATCTTCCAGGCAGGTATTGAACCGGTGGTACAGCCCTGAAACATTTGGGGATAAGAAGCCTAGCTCTTAGCCTATGGGTCTTATCTGGCTGTAGCTGATCACAAATACCAGGGAGCAGTGCAGCCACAAGACAGGCCCTTAGACTGTCACTGGGCTCCTGGTAAGGAACATGTTTGGACAAGGTTCCAAAAGGAACTGGATGATCTCTTCATTTTTAAACTGGAACTACCCTATAACAATGGTTTAAAGGAACACTATAGGGTCAGGAACACAAACATGTATTCCTGACCCTATAGTGTTTAACCAACCATTTAGGTGGCTTGCTCCCCTATAAAAGTTTAAAACTTATTTCCAGCGCCGCGTGGGTCTGCCAGTGCTGGTTCCGCCCCCCTTTTGACATCAAAATGGCCGATTTTTAGCCAGTCGAATGCTAGAGTGGGGGCAGGGCCAAATGCCTAACAGGTAGTGATTCGGTATTAAAACAACCTTTTTGTATGGCTCACATTGTGCAATATGTACGTAATGACTGTATATTCTTGCTCAATAAAAGATTTTGTAATTTTCTTATTTCACTAAGAAAATTTGTAGTTTAGAATAATGTAAACTTCAATACTAATGGAATACTTATTACTTAATCTCAACATTTTCTGGTTTATTGCAAGGGCATACAAATGTCAAACTTAGGGTTATGTTACATTGCATTGGTAATTTAGATACATTTTCTGCAGGAACTCTGCTTGTATACAACATTAATAATAATACTCTGTTTTCTACGTTAAATAAAAGCCCCAAAATATGTTAAACTAAACTTGGACAGCATTAACGGAAAGTCTAAACATGCTTGCAGGAAGCTAAAATTTAGATTCTGTTGCCGTCTGGTCGGTTGGAAGGGAAAAAAATAACACTGCCTAAGTATTTTTATTTTGTTTTGAAAAGCCATGTTGATTTTATTTCCCACAAATCAGGACCCCCAGCCCACTGATACTTGATCAGGGCTACATTAACACCAAAAATCAAGTAATCAAAGCGGAAAGACGAATATTGAAGGAATTGGGATTTTGTGTTCATGTCAAACATCCTCACAAGGTGAGTAAATACAATAAATTTGTCTGAAAGTTATGGCTCGTGATTTGTGTAAATGCCAGCAAGAAAATACTTTTTTTTTTTTTTTTTTTTCTTCTGCTATATTATCACTTTTATCATAAAGTATGCATAGTTCAAAATTTTCAGTGCATGTTCAAGCATCAAATATCATTTAGTTTCAGATTTTATAAATTTAATGTAATCGGTCAATTAACACAGTGTACGCCGATCATTGTGCTTAGAGTAATCCTGAAAATAAGTACCTCAAGCCTAAGAGTGGGAGTGTAAACCAAAATATTTAAATGGTCATCGACCTATTACATTTTTAGTAAGCTTTCACTTACCTGCCAGTGAAGAACTCATTGCTATGGTACCTTATTAAAAACCACTGATTTAAAGGACCACTCTAGTGCCAGGAAAACATACTATTTTTCCTGGCTCTATAGGGTCCTTGGGTCCCCCTCACCCTTTGGGCCCCCCTCTCGCTGGGCTCAGATGAGGAAGGGTTTAATCCCTTACCTTTTTTTCCAGTGCCTGGCTCCCTCGGCACTGTGGACTCTCCTCCTCCTTTCCCCGACATCGGCTGAATGTGCGTGCGCAGTCAGTCCATAGGAAAGCATTCTCAATGCTTTCCTATGGACGCCGGCGTCTTCTCACTGTGAAAATCACAGTGAGAAGCGCCTCTAGCGCCTGTCAATGACACAGCCAGTAGAGGCTGGATTAACCCTAGTGTAAACATAGCAGTTTCTATGAAACTATGTTTACAGCAGAAAGGGTTAATCCTAGATGGACCTGGCACCCAGACCACTTCATTAAGTTGAAGTGGTCTGGGTGCCTATAGTGGTCATTTAATGAACACGCATGAGAGTTGTGGGACTGGAGTTATAAAGCTCTTTGGGCAGTAAAATAAAACACTTTTGCATTGAACATGTCTAGCCCTTAAATGGTTAAAGATGAGTGATGTTTACAAGAATCATTTTAAACAAATCTGCAAGAAATTAGACTAGTTATGTACAGATTGCATGTGTAATGTATAAAAGGTCACACAAACACGCCCACAATAATCAGGCTATCACAATTAAGTAAATTGCTGTTATAACAATTTAGTTTGACAACAAAATACCAGCTCCTATATTGTGTTAATAACGTTTTGTTTTTGACATTTTAACAGATAATTGTTATGTACCTACAAGTTCTAGAATGTGAACGCAATCAAACCTTAGTTCAAACCGCCTGGTAAGTTAACTCTTTTTTTTGTTATGAGCCAGGGAAATAGTAGCAGAAATGCATTTGATATGGCATATAAAAATATTGTCAATGTCCATACATGTGTTTCTGCTTACTATTTTCATGGCTTGAGTAAAAGTGAAATGGAGATCTCTGTTTAACTTTTTTTCTTTTTTTTTCTACTCTTTGGTTAAAGGGTAGTCCATGATGGTAAGTCATAGAACTCTGCCCTCTGCACCACAACCTCCGAATGGCCTTATTGGCTGCTCTTCTCTTCAGCCAATGCAGTGCAAGTTCTCATCCGAGATTCACTGAAGTGGTCCTTATCCATCTGGCCTCCTCTTCTAATTCTGTCGTGGTGTGGAAAGGATTTGTATATTTACTTCTAGAAATATTAACTTTAAATGTGCTGTTGAGAAATGGGGGAGGGGGGCGGGGTGACTAAAATTTAGTAGCCCTTTATGGAGCTCTAAAAAAGTTAAACAGATTATTTCCTTTTAAAATGTACTGTTAAATATTTTATGCGAGTGGGGTATAATCTGAGTAGACCTAATGAACTAAATTGTGTTGAGTTGCAATTTAGATTTTGTTTAATATAATCTAGACTAGTTGACTTAAGTTTTGCCAGATACTTGTCACTACATCTCTACAATATGGCCCATGAAATAATCGGACTATAATTGTGGAACACTGTTGAAGGAGTACACATTTTAAGTTAGTATATGTTTTGATGTGGACTTTTTACATCAGTGTATCTTTCAGGTAAGTAATGTTTCCTTAGAAATTAATATATGAAATTGCAATTCTTAGCTAATGTTTCATCTTGGTTTGTCCAGTAAGGTGCACGTGGGGTCACATTGTTTCTCAATCCTAGGACAGACCTTGCACATAGCTGCTGTTGTAACTAACTATATGCCAGTGTCATAGAAGTACTTTTTTGAATGTTGCAATATCTTTGCTAATCATTTAAAGTGCCCCACAGAACACAATGTATCAATCTTTTGTTTAAAGGGAAAAAAGTTATGCAGTGCTATAGACAGACCATTCTTGATATACTGAAGCCTCCTCCCCCTTTACAGTACTGCTTAAGCAGTAACTAATGTTTACAGGTGTACCATCATTGATGTACATCACCTGCTTCATTTAATGTTAATAATGTATTGTAGCCTTGATTCACAGTAAAATTTATGGAGGAAAATCATTTTTGCTATTTGCCACAAAATTGTGTATGCTTGCAGAATTTTGTTCACTATCCCTATTCATTTGGGATGATGCTTGACACAGTTATAAGATTCCTTAACATAATGTACGATTTAACCATAGAATTTAATTGATCTAATTTTATAAAATTTCCTATTTAAAAAGTCTTTTTTTTAAATGTATTTATTTTTTTAATTTATGGCATTTAAGAAAAACCTTTGTACGCTTTGTAGTACAAAATGTATTAAAATGTTACACTAATTATTTGGTTTAATGCCCTTCAAAGACTAACTGGTAAAAAAAAAAATTTCTTGGTATTGAATTTACAGAGTTCATTAATATCTGCTAAAATGTAAAGGTATATAAGAAATAAAAGTTCTCTATGTGCATGTGTCTGATCTGTTGTGCAGCCAGATGTGGAGATGTCATACTATGTAAAATAAGTAACTTCTCCTTTATACAGGCGCTAGTTGTTTGGTTAGTGTATGTAGAATAATGATATGGGGAGATGACTGTAAGTTCGTCATATTTTGCATAACAGATTCTCCTTTCAGATCAGAACTGTCACAGATGACGTACTCCATACTGGCACAATTGATTTTTATTTTATTTTCTAATTGGATTTTTTTTTCCCTTGAGTTTATGCTTCAGCCTTTGTAATTTTACACAGACAAACATCTTTTTATTATATTTTTGTTTCTTTTTTTTCAACTGTTCATTTCATTTTGCATGAAAATATAGAAAAAATGAAAAGTTGAACTATAATTACAAATGTCACTGTTTTGTATTTGAGTCTTTCAGGATACTGCCCATACAGGATAATTTTGAATTTGGCTGTTCCTATGAAATAAGAAAAATATACAAACAGAAAATGTTACCTACTTGTTTCTGATATCTTGTTTTACAGGAATTATATGAACGATTGCCTTCGAACAAGTGTTTTTGTGCGCTTTGAAGCAGAAACCATTGCATGTGCTTGTATTTATCTTGCTTCTAGAGCATTACAAGTAAGTTTTTATTTAAAAAAAATTTTGGTTTGTGTGTGGGGGTTTTAAATCGCTGATAAACATATTCTGTTCTTCGACACTCTTAAAAATGTGTATATGTATGTTACATAGCTGAAAAGAGACTTGCATCCATCAAGTTCAGCCTTCCTCACATATATTTTTGCTGTTGATCCCAAAAAAGGCAAAAAAACCTAGTCTGAAGCGCTTCCAATTTTGCAACAAACTAGGAAAAAATTCCTTCTTGACCTCAAAATAGTATTCAGTTATCTCCTTGGATCAAGCAGCTATTTCCCCACTAATTAGAAATTATATCCCTGTATCTTGTTTTTGCAAGTATTCAATTGCGGTTTAAACATCTGTATGGACTGTTAAAATCACCTCACAAAATATGGAGAATTCATAACCTTATTGCTCTAAATGTAAAAAAAAAAAAAAAGTTTCTTTCCCTTAGCTGAAATCTCCTTTCTTCCAGCTTAAATGCGTGTCCTATGTATTGCCCCGTTTTATGAATAGATTTCCAGATAATGGTTTGTACTGGCCCCAAATATATTTTTATAATGTTATCATATGCCTTCTGAGGTGCCGTTTTTCCAAACTAAAGAGATTTCCATTTTTTAACCTCTCTTCGTAACTAAAATGCTCCATTCCTTTTATCAATTTTGTAGCTCATCTCTGCACTTTTTCTAGTGCTATGATATCCTTCTTTAGAACAGGTGCCCAAAATATTCAAGGTGTGGTCTTACCAGCTATTTATAAAGAGGCAAAATTATATTTTCATCCCCCTATTTATACATGACAAAACCTTACTGGCCTTAACAACTGCAGATTGACATTGCATATTGTTGCCTATAACAATTCCTAAATACTTCTCGTCTGTGGTTATCCCTAATTCACTACCATTTCGGGTGTAAGTTGCTTGTGCATTCTTGACCCCGAAGTGCACAACTTTGCATTTCTCTACATTAAATTTCATCTGCCATTTTAGTGCCCAGTTCCCCAATCTCTCTAAAGCTCTCTGCAGCAAAGCAATATCCTGCTCACATTTTATTACTTTACAAAGGTTTGTGTCATCTGCAAACACTGAAACATGGCTTTCAATGCCTATTGCAAGATCATTTATAAATAAGTTAAATAAAAGCAGTCCCAAAACAGAACCCTGAGGGACACCACTTGCCACTTTTGTCCAGCCTGAAAATGTACCATTAATACAGCTTGTTTGTCGTGTGTGTGTGTGTGTGTGTGTGTGTAATTAATATATATATATATATATTTTATATATATATATATATATATATATATATATAGAGTTTGTGCACTTAAAATGTAACAAAAAACAACCCATTCTAGAAATATGCTCTTTAAATTAAAGGGATCCTGTAGTCCTTGTATTCCTGGCACTACAGATTCATCGCGCCCCCTTCCCCCCCTAAAAAAAACCTTTACTTACCTTATCTCGGCGCTGTGTCAAAGCCAGGGTCTAATGTGCATGCGTGGCAAATGCTGCACGCGTATTCGACCTCCCCATTGGAAAACGTTGAATCATGCTTTCCTATGGGGAAAAATCTGACACTAGAGGTCCTCATGCAGAGTGTGAGGACGTCCAGTGTCCGATAACCTACCAAATGTTTTACGATTCTGGAAGCGCCCCCCTCCCAGTGGCTGTCTTGTAGACAGACAATGAGGGCAGACTTAGTGCTGCAATGTAAACATTCCAGTTCTCTGGAACTGCAATGTTTTTACATTGCAACACTAGGTTCAAAAAGGACACAGCACCCAGACCACTTCAATGAGCTGAAGTGGTCTGGGTGTCTACAGTGTACCTTTAACTATATGTCAAGACAGTGAAACCGTTGCATTTGTGGGTTATTTATGCTAGTTTTATCAGATGACCTGAGTTCTTGGGTGTACATTTTTCAGTAGTATCCTTTTAAAGACATTGCCATAAACTAATGGAAAATAATGTATATGTACTCATGATTGTTTTCTATCCTGGTTTGTTTTCAGATTCCACTGCCTAATAAACCACATTGGTTTTTACTGTTTGGCGCTACAGAGGAAAACATTCAAGAGATCTGCGTAACAACACTAAGGCTTTATACCAGGAAAAAGGTACTGAATCAGCTTGCAGAACAGAATAATGGTGTTTGTTCGTTGTAAAAGAGAGAAATACCTTGTGGGGGGGGGATGAAATACGTTGAGAAATGTTTGGTATGTGTGTCTGTCTCCATGCCGACTTCAAGCCCCAACCTTATTCAGTCATGTGGAGACCTCTGTTCCCTTGCTAACACAGCTACCTAGAGCTGGGCCAGAATTAAATGCTGCTATTGTGCACATTGACAAACTGCATTCACGTATATTGCCACAACATTATGCAGTCGTGGTCAATAAATACAGATACTAAGCACAAAAAATGCCATGTCATCTCATGCCACATGTATGCTATTTCCATGTGTATCTTCAGCTGCTTTAGACTACAACTGTCACTAGGCTCAGCAAGTATCTATAATTACTGCTGGCTGAACTTTTTGAGATTAATACAAACATTCCAGTGGCAATCCAAATGATTGTGCACTCAGTACCTTCTAGATTGGAGTTTAAAGGTCAAGTATGTTTAAGAAGATAAAAATGGTTATACATTCATTTTTGACAGAGCTGTGCAGGTGCTTATTTTGTTTGATTCAATCATCAAAGCTTGTGTGGGTTCATAGTTGATGGCAGTTGGGTTAAAAGAATCTGGGAGCACGTGTATTCTGGTAGAAATCATTATGAAGACAGATCACATTCTGGACTGAACTTTGTAAAGCCTTAAAGACCGCATAAGGACTTTTATGGTTGCCTGTATTTCTTTTTGAGTTATAATCGTATACAGTAGTATACTGGCATTTATATAATTCCCTTTTTAATTCCTACAGCCAAACTATGACCTTTTGGATAAAGAAGTGGAAAAGAGAAAAATGGCATTACAAGAGGCTAAATTGAAAGCGAAGGGATTAAATCCAGATGGAACTCCAGCTCTCTCGACCATGGGAGGCTTCTCTCCTGCATCTAAGCCTTGTAAGTTTCATAGTTCGGTATTGTCTCTGTTTGAGCATTTACGTATCCGTAGTGTCATACTCTGTAAATAACTGGCTAAATGCATGTCATACATAAGTCGGCTGTACATAAGTCATACAGGAGTATATAGAACTTGCACACATCAATATTTCAGCCCTTTTAAATGTAAAGTATAATATTAAGATATGTTGAATTAAACCTGGAATCAAATGTTCAGTGTGCTTAGTCTAGCTGATCCTGTACCCATTTCTCAATGCTGGAATCTGATTTAATTTTAGCAAGGGTGTGTTTTGTCTTCCCACCAAATAAATATTGGTATATACAGTCACTGTGCTGAGTGTCTGTATTGTAATTCACAATTGTGTGCTCCCCTCATCTTTCCCCTTTAAGGTTCTCCTCGAGAAATGAAAGTGGAAGAAAAGTCTCCAGTTTCTGCAAAAATTAAACGTGAACCTGAAGATAAGCAGTCTTCAAAAAGCCCTTATAACGGGTAAGCATGGTAGCATTGTGTTGGGCATGCTTTCAACTGCAGGAATGTTCTGAAGTAATAATTTACAATGCAGTGTGGATTCCTTTTCATGTCTTGCCTAGCTGTTGATTTCTCCAAACATGCTATAAATGTAACAGGAAAGATAGTTTTCTTTGTCTGGCTAGTGCCATGCCAATAGTCTTAATGCTGCACTGCATGTGGGTAATCTTTAGTGTTTTGCAGAAGGTAATGGGGATCGTCATGGTATCAGAACAATTATTAAAAAATCCGTATTAATTTATAAGATACAGGTACTCCTTGGTTACCGACCGAGTTCCATTCCTACGACCCGGTCGTAGAACAACTTGGTCGGTAAGTGAGTGGAGGGATTCCCTGCTCTGATTTGCATTCTATGTTCGGGGAAATTTCCCCAAACAAATACGAATGCAGAAGAGCAGAGAATCCCCACAACTGCTCGCACTTACCCTACGCTAGAGAGCTGGTTGAAAGTGCAAGCAGTTACAAAATGAGGACCACCTGTAGTTAAATTCCTTTTTTCTTTTGTCAATTCATCCCTATCCACTCATTCCCTGGCTGTGACAGACAATATCTGCATTAAACAAAATCATTGTCAATCAGATCTTAATTTACTTTACTTTTAGTTTTGTAAATTAAACTTTAACCCCTTAAGGACACATTTGTATTCCCCTTAAGGAATACAAATGTTCTGCAGCTACACCCATTTTATTAGATTGATTTCTACTAATCCAGTGTTTATCTAGAGCACATCAGAGGCCAAATTTGTACCGGGCCAATCAAATGATCTTCTCAGACCATCTAGCAGAGTTAAGTGATCGGTGCGCCTATAGTGTTCCCTTAATCACACACAGGAGGCTCTAGCAGGCTATTACCGAGCACGAGATAAGACATTCTAAAGTTAAACAATGTGCAATAAAGGAAGTGTAAAAATTAGATGACTTTTTACAGGAAGTGTTTAGGAAAGCTTTGTAAGTCACATACAGGGAGAGGTGACTAGAGCTGTATAAAAAGTGATTTAACTCCTAAATGACAGAGAATTGAGCAGTGATACTGCTCAAAACTGTTGTTTTGGTGCCTATAGTATCCTTTTATGGTAGGAGACCTAATTGTATGTGGGAATGTTATAATTGATGCCATACTTTGAAGAAGACTTATATATAATTTTATACTATTATATATTTATATATTATTTTTATGGACTAGGAAAAAATTTTTCTCTGAGTTGGGTATCAAACTTTGCTTCCAGCATTGACAATATATTTTTGATTATTTATATTTTCATCCAGTCTGGTGAGTTTGTTGTGATTTCTGTGGAAATTTACATAATTACTGGCTGCAGTCTCATGGCTGGCAAGTAAAAGATCAAGACATTTGGATTGATTGCCATTTATAGACTGCCCAGTCCACTATTTCCCTAGATGATTTTAAATGAAAAATAATTCTCTTAGAGATTATGTATTGCTTCTGAATGGACTGGCAGTAGAATTGTCTAATTGATCTGTGTGTATGTAATATATATGTCCTTATATATTCTTGTAGACTGCGTAAAGAAGTAAAAAGAAGCAGGAGTGGCAGTAGATCACGATCACAAACAAAGTCAAGATCCAGATCCCGTTCTCCAAGGAGACAGTGAGTTACACTTTTTATTTTTTAGAGAAGCACTATAGGGTCAGGGACACAAACATGTATTCTTGACCCTATAGGGTTAAAACCACCATCTAGCCCACGTGGCTCCCTCATGCCTCAGTAAATATAGTAAAATCTTACTCGTATTCAAGCCTGAAGCTGCTAGCTTTGTCCCGGTTTCCTTTTGACCTGCCTGCTGACATCAGCAGAAGTGGTAGCCTGATCCAATCACAATGCTTCTCCATAGGATTGGCTGAGACTGACAAGGAGGCAGATCAGGGGCAGAGCCAGCACAATTCAAACACAGCCCTGGCCAATCAGCATCTCCTCGTAGAGATGAATTGAATAAATTAAACTCTATGAGGAAAGTTCAGTGTCTGCATGCAGAGGGAGAAGACACTGTTTGAATGCATTTTAGGCAGCCATTACCTAGGAAGGATCTCTAACAGCTATCTGAGGAGCGGCCAGTGAAATTATCACTAGGCTGCAATGTAAACACTGCATTTTCTCTGAAAAGACAGTGTTTACCCCAAAAAGCCTGAAGGTAATGATTCTACTCACAGAACAAATTCAATAAGCTCTAGTTGTTCTGGTGACTATATATAGTGTCCCTTTAACTGGTTTCTCCTTAAATACAACAAATGGGTTCTACTATTAAAGAATGGTATCCCATTATCAAATAGAAGCAAGTTCTATCTTGGTTAGAATCTTTGATTATTATATCTAGCTTGAGTATAATTATTGTTCCATTTATATTTGAAATTACACAATGACTAGTTTACATTTGTGCACTATAGTCGCAGAACGTGTCTTATGCTTCTTTCTGCAGCTAAACCCAAATCTTAGTTCACTGATGGCTGCTATCATAAGTCATTAGGTACAGTGCAGTTATTTGCGGTCTCTTTCCCCTTGGCATAGCAACAGTGCTGTGAAAAGTAAGTGCATGCACTCTGGATTTCTCACTGAACTCAAGTCAATCAGATCTGTTGCTCCTCCTCTTCACTCCCACTTCAGGCAATGACTCATGATGTCACACTCCTCACTGGACATATTTTGGAATGCTGAGGTTACTTGAGATTTTGCTATACATGTTGAGTTGTAGTAACAGAGCTATATTAAGTATTGGGGGTGGAGGAAATGGTGACTTGCCATGTAATCTAGTTTGAACAAATTCTTTTCAGGCTCAGCCAATTACTGGAATAGGATGATTTGAGTTATGTTCTGTATAAGCTGCTTTGCAAATGGTTGCCTCTCTGTCCTTTACATTGCATTTAATGTCCTTTAGGTAGAATATCAGGTCTTTGACACAGTGTCTGTAACTTTTATTTAATTTTTTTTAAAGCTATAACAACAGACGAAGTCGTTCTGGAACATACAGTTCGAGGTCAAGAAGCCGGTCTCGAAGCCACAGTGAGAGTCCTCATAGGCATCATAACCATGGATCTCCACGCCTAAAACCAAAACATCGAGGGGAGGACTTAAGAAGCTCAAGCAGACATGGCCATAAAAGGAAAAAGTCTCATTCTCCAACTCCAAGCAAATCAAGAGATCATGCTGACCCTGGCAAGAAGCACAGACACGAGAGACATCATAGGGATAGGCGAGAGAGATCTCGGTCATTCGAGAGGTCACACAAAAGCAAACATCATGGCAGTAGCCATTCTGGACATGGCAGACACAGACGCTAAATATTCATTTGGCAGAAGGGAGCAGATATGTAATGTTTAGCTGTCTGTTTATGGACTTCAGTTTTTTTTTTTTTTTTGGTTTTTTTTTTCTCCCTCTTCCCATCTCCCCTTTTCTTTGTAAAATAAAACCGAAGATATGACAAAAATTCTGGAAATTGGCAAGTCTGGGTTTTTATTGACCTCTGTTCTCTTGCACGTTATACCTTGGCAGTGTAACATTTATTATGACCGTGGTCAGGCTGTAATTATTATAAGGCAGTGTATTAAACAGAACAGCTTGTGATACATTGCTGTAAAGATGTCATATTTTCTTTTACATGAACCAGTTGCAGACACTTATATTTAAACTTGATTATTTAAGAAATTGTGAGAGATTTTTTTTTTTCTTACATTTGGTTTTAGTCTGCGTGTATACAGTCCAATTTTTATTAAATAACTTAGAAAAATTGTGTGTTGCATTCCTTTTTTTCAAAGAAAAATTCCAACGCACACTTACGGGTAACCTGAAACAGAATTCCAACTATAACAGATGATAATAAAGAGCACCCACTTCTATAACTATAAGGATGCAGAGACTCCTGTTATGCCTTCCAAGATGAATGTCCAATAATAAATGGGGGAAAATGTCAATGAGGAATGCTGGAGATTTATTTTCTATTATTGAAACCGAGCACTGACCAACATACACTTAAAGGTACACCATGGTCATCAAAACAACTTTTAGATTATTGAAGCAATTTTTGTGTATGGATCATAACTCAAAGTAATTTCACTGCTCTATTCTCTGCCATTGATGAATTAAACATTTGTTTTTGTTTATATACCTCTAGCCACACCTCCCCTAACTGACTGACACAGACTACATGAAAACAAAATGGCTTCATTTTCAATCAGATGTAACTTTAAGCGTCTTTATCTCCTGCTCTGCAAATTGCACTCTAATTACATACAAGAGTCTTCTCCATGATCTAGCAAGAGCAGGAGATAAGTTTTAAATTAAACAGAATTTGCAAAAAGAAGTGTAAACTTCTTTACAGGAAGTGCTTAGGAATGCTGTGTACATCACCTGCAGGGAGGTGTAACTAGGACTGTATTAACAAAGTGATCTAATTCATAATTGAGCAGTGAGAATGCAGGGGCATGATCTAGACACCAAAAATGTCTAAGCAAATTGTTTTGGTGACTGTATTGTCCCTTTAGTTGCTTATATACACTAAATTATCAACAATTCAGGTTCAGTGTTTTGGTATTTCATTTGACAAGTTGATGGGGAAAAAAACCTCAAAAATTAGATGTCCCGGCAAATAATCCACATCTTGCTTCTCAAATGTATACATTCTGTTTTACTATACTCATGAGAAATAGTTTAACATGGATGATATGTATGCATTATTTTACAAAAGTCACAATCTGATGGCCGCAGAGCAGTATAGGGATTCCTAATCTTGAGCATGCATACTCCCTCTCCTGAGCTGAAATATTGGGGGTAGCTAATGCCCAGTGTGTATATGTATGTGTTCATATATTTATAGTTTTCATATCCAGAATGAAACCTTGCAGGAAACAAATGCATGTTCTGTTTTGGGAAACGGTGTAGGTGTTATGTTTAGACTTTTTTACATTTTAAGAGGATAG